TGCACCTGTCGGTGATACACTTCTGCGGGGATTAGCGAGCCCTTGACACGGATCTGGTCCGGGGAGACGTCTAAGGCCAGGAGCACGCGCTTGGGTACACAGGGTAGAGCTTTGGGACTGCTTCCCCGGCCACGCACGGAACCCTGCGTCCCTGGCCACGCCCCGATCCCTGCGTCCCTGGCCACGCACGGGACCCTGCTTCCCCGGCCACGCCGCGATTCCTGTGTCCCCGGTCAGGCATCAAGCCCTGCGTCCCCAGCCACACACCAGATCCTGCTGCCGTGTCCAGGGCCAGGGGCGCGCCCGTGCAGAGGCTGGGAACCTGTGCTTGGAGGGTACACCTGCCGCCACAGTCCACAGGCCGCCCTGACCTTCTCCTGCCAGGTGCTGCCCTCCCCCGCTCTGGGGGTCCCCCCTCCCGCCCCCGGTGGTGCCGCTGCCTTCAGCCGCCTGGTCCCCAGGCTCCTGGGGCCCTGGCTGCTCCGCGTCCTGCTGGGGGCAGAACCCAGGTCTGGACCCTGAGGGCTCCCGAGACACTGGGTGGACTCTGAGGCCGGGCTCCCATGGCACACAGGGTGTGCGGGTCCTGAGTGTTGGTGGAGTGACGGGCGCTTAGCAAATGCGTGGATGTCACCTGTCAGGATGCGTGTTTATCCTTCAGCGTAGCAGCTCCTCCTCTAGGAGTCAGCCCTATGAAGACATCAATGATGACTTGAGTCTGTGAGCCTGTCGGGAAGCGATGGGCCAGTCATGAAGGGATGGGTCAGTGGGAAGCGATGGGTCAGCGGGAACTGATGGGTCAGTGGGAAGCGATGGGTCAGTGGGAAGGGATGGGTCAGTGGGAAGTGAGTCAGTGGGGACGGATGGGTCAGTGGGGACCGATGGGTCGGTGGGGACAGATGGGTTGGTGGGGACGGATGGGTCAGTGGGAAGCGATGGGTCAGTGGGAAGGGATGGGTCAGTGGGAAGTGAGTCAGTGGGGACCGATGGGCCGGTGGGGACTGATGGGTCGGTGGGGACCAGTAGGTCCGTGTGTTGCTGGGGACAGCTCAGAGTTGCGGAGGGAGGAGGGGGTGCTGGGCACAGGTCGCGGTCACTCCCTGAAAGGGCGTGGGGGTGTGTCCAGAGCACGTCCAGAGCTCTGAGGTTTGTCCCTTGAAGAAAAGCGTGTTCTCAGCGAGCAGCCTTCTGGGCAAGAAAGGCAGGGAGGTGGACACACGTTCTTGCTTGTGTCTTCACAAAGGATCGGTGGGAGGCTGAGGAAGCGCAGTCTCCGCCGGGGAGGAGGTGAGCTGTGTGAAGGGGCAGGGTCGGGACGCACCGCCTCTGATGGTTAACACCGTCACCCTTTCTGTGATGGAGAAGACGGAAACAGGCGTTAACGCTGGCTGCAGGGCTACCTTGGTGGCCCAGTGGGTCAGGATCCCGCTGCCAGGGCGGGGAACCCGGGGCTGATCGCTGGTCTGGGGAGACTCCACGTGCTGCCGACAGCCACGTCCACCACGGCTCAGCTCCTGGAGCCCCGGTGCCCGCCTGCGGGACTGCAGAGCCTCGCCCCCGCTACTGAAGCCGAGCCCCTCAACAGGAGACGCCCCGACGCAGGAAGCCCCAGCTCCAAACCAGAGAGAGCCCCAGCTCCCCACAGCTGGAGACGGCCTGCACCCGTCGCGGCCAAGACTGAACAGCTAAATTGATCAGTTAGAGACAGTAAAGCTGGTTATGCGATGCACCGGGAGCGGCTGCCCTGCACAGTCCTCTTACGCGGCTGTGGCTGCAGGCCTGGTCGGGCGGCTAAACGTGGCCTGGGCCTCAGGAGGGCTGCGGGCTGCGGGCAGGGTGGGCCTGGTGGGCTGGGCAGTCGTGGACGAGTCGGATCCCAGGTCTGGTTCGCAGACTCGGCCGGGCCCTCGGGGCTCAGATCGGAGGAGTCGGGTCTGGCCAAGTGTCCACGGCGGAGGAGGTAGAATCTGTGCTGTAACTTCTCTGGAGGATGCTGGGCCCTCCTGACACTGCCCTGGGATCAGGGCCTGGGGCAGGGCTGCCAAAGGACCGCGCTGAGCTTCTGGCGGACGGAACCAGGTGACGGCAAGAGGAACATGGGAACCTCGGGGACGGTTGGGGTCCTGGGGAGCTGCTCCGGTCTGCCCCAGCTGCTCCCCAGGGAGCCGCCCGTGCTGGTCTGAGCATGAGTGTGAGTTACCATTTATTAAAGCGCAAGGCTGTCTGTGCAGTGGAAGGGGGCTCCTGGGGAGCGTGTCAGTGGTGACAGGGTCATCACGGAGCCTGAGCCCGGGAGCAGGTCTGTGCTGACCGTGGTTGCCTGGGTCCTGAGCACTTGACCCAAAATCAGGGAACTGGACACCCGCAGGCAGTGCGTTTCACCCACTGCCCAGCATGGACACAGGCGATTTCAGGGATTCAATCACTTTGCCAGAAGGCTCTTATCCCGCTGTGAACTAGGACCGCTTCTGTAATCAGTTACAGCTATAGAACTGAACTGATTAGATTCCTGCAAAGATTATGAGTGCTGGACGGGCTCGGCCAGTATCACAGGAGAGCTGCCCCAGAGCCCCTGTGAGTCCTTGTGGCCGTCCTAACGAGCACCCGTGAAGGGGAGGAACAGGGCTTAGACTGGAGCCTTCTCTTGCTGTCCCAGAGACGTGCACCCAAGGTCAAGGCTGGCCCATCTGCGGCCCTGGAGGGGCCCTGAGCCAGGCCCCCGGTGCTGGAGGTCCGCCGCAGTCCTTGGCCTTCCCCGAGCCGGTCTGCAAGGACACCAGCTGCCTTGGAGCAGGGCCACCTCAGTGACCTCACTTTAACTTGGTCACCCCTGTAAGGACGCCTTCTCCAAATAAGGTCAAGTCTCAGGCCCCGGGAGTCTGGCGTCAACATGTGAATTTTGGGGGACACGATCCAAGCCTTAATAATCCCTGCTGGACTGTGATGGAAGAGGTGAAACCAGTGAGTAAGGAATTTTCATGTTTCTGAGACTCTTGGGTAAAGAAAGCGGTCTTTGTGTCTCATTTCCAGGGACTCGCATGCTTGTTCATTGATGGATTTTTAGTTCAGGCTGGAGAAGGGTGGGAACAGGCGGCTTAGCGGACCTGCTGTCCCTCACAGGGCCCAGGCCCAGCCCCGGCCGCTCTGTGTTGGCGTCTGCTGCGCCCGCCGGCTCCCGCCTGGGGCCATGATCTCTCGGGTCCTCGGTCTAGCCTCTGTTCTACTCGTGCGTTTACTTCACATGCCGAGAGTACGTGTGAAATAGCCTCGTTTCCGGTTCACTCGCTGAGTGAGCTCTGTGACTCTGTGTTGGGGCCTGACCCCTTCCTAGAGGAGCCAGTTCCAGCTTGGAAGTTGCAGTAGGAACTGTGAGTCTCCACGCCCGCCCGCGGGCGACTCCCTTCTCCAGTCCCTGCAAATCGGTCCTGTTGGTTGTCTGAACACTGAGACCTGAGCATTCCCATGGGCTGGTGGGGGTGGGTGGATGGGTCTAAAGGGACCTCTTATCTATCCAGCTGAGCTATTTAAGATCCTACAAGATGATGCTGTTCAAGCGCTGCAGTCAGTATGTCAGCAAATTTGGAAAACTCAGCAGTGGCCACGGGACTGGAAAAGGACTGGGAAAGGTCTGTTTTCATTCCAGTCCCAAGGAAAGGCAATGCCAAAGAATGTTCAAATTTCCGTACAGTTGCACTCATTTCACATGCTGGCAAGATTATGCTCAACATCCTTCAAGCTACCTATGGCTGGTTCGTGTTATGTATGGCAAAAACCAACACAATATTGTAAAGCAGTTATCTTAAATTTAAACAAAATCCTTCAAGCCAGGCTTCATGAACTGAGAACTTCCAGATGTATGGTTGGGTTAAGAAAAGGCAGAAGAATCAGAGATCAAATTGCCAACATTCGCTGGATCATAGAGAAAGCAAGGTAATTCCAAAAAAAGTCTGCTTCATTGACTGCATGAAAGCCTTTGACTGTGTAGATCACAGCAAACTGTGGAAGATTCTTAAAGAGATGGGAATACCAGACTTACCTTACCTTACTCACCTTACCTGACTCCTGAGAAACCTGTATGCAGGTCAAGAAGCAGCAGTTAGAACCTTCCATGAAGCAACAGATTGGTTCAGAATTGGGAGAGGAGTACAACAAGGCTGTGTATTGTCACCCTGTTTATTTAACTTGTATGCAGCGTACATCTTGCGAGGTACCAGGCTCACAAACTCACAAGCTGAAACAAGATTGCATGAAATTAAGATGCTTGCTCCTTGAAAGCTATGACAAATCTCGACAGCATATTAGAAAGCAAAGACATCACTTTGCTGACAAAGGTCCATACAGTCAAAGCTATGGTTTTTCCAGTGGTCATGTATGGATGTGAGAGTTGGACTATAAAGGAGGCTGAGTGCCAAAGAATTGAGCTTTTGAACTGTGGTGTTGGAGAAGACTCTTGAGAGTCCCTTGGACTGCAAGGAGATCCAACCAGTCCGTCCTAAAGATCAGTCCTGGGTGTTCATTGAGGACTGATGCTGAAGCTGAAGCTCCAGTACTTTGGCCACCTGATTCGAAGAGCCAACTCACCGGAAAAGACCCTGATGCTGGGAAAAATTGACTGCATAAGGAGAAGAGAACAGTATCACTGACTCAATGGACATGAATTTCAGTGACCTCCAAGAGATGGTGAAGTAAGGGAAGTCTGATGTGCTGCAGTCCATGGGGTCTCAAAGAGACGGACACGACTTAACAGCTGAGCGCCAACATCTCCCTGCAGTTACCTTTTAAACAAACTGTAATGTGAGCAGGTCCACCTGTTATTCAGACAAATATTTGTGTCTTTATCAGCCTTTTCCCAGAGCTGATTCAGCCAAGGATTGAATTGGGAGATTTAATTTCTTAAATGCCTTATCACTGTTTGGAAACTGAATGTTTAAAGATGACACAGAACTAGTGACAATGGCAGATTTCTCTCTGTAAATAATCCATTTCTCGTTTCTTCACAGGGATCTTCGCTTTAACAGAATCAGAGAGATCCAGCCGGGGGCCTTCAGGGGGCTGAGAAACCTGAACACATTGTAAGTCCAGACATTGTCCCGGGAACTGGTAGAAAAAGATGCGAAGACCATCGCCGCTTTCCCCTGTGGGCAGATCCCAAGTGCTTGGGGTCCCCCATCACCTGTGGAGGGAGGGCGGGCGTGGCTGAGCGGGAGAGGCCTCGCCTGCCAGAGGGGTTTGCACACGGAGGTGTCTGTGGGTCCAGACTGGTGGCCTTCGTCCCTGTCTTCCCGACCGACAGCTGTGAACCTGTCCACAGCTGTGCTGGCCACGCCTCCCTGGCAAGCTCACAAGGACTGCCCTCCCCCCTGCCCCTGATCCCCTGTGGGCCCCGGCGGGGGTGGGTGCCATCCGTCAGTGTCCCGGTGTTTAGACCCCTGGGGGGGACAGGGATGGGGCCCGACTCCAGGCCACCGCGGGCTGTGCTGAGCACCGTGGGAGGGGGTTCTGGCTCTCCCCCAGAGGTGACTGGTGCATGCAGGGCGGCGTGCTGGGCCTCGGGGCTGTGAGCCTGGTGGGGGCAGGTGTGGCTCTGCCCCTCACTGTGAAAAGGCTCCCTGGAGAGAGACCCGCTTGAGGAAGCCCTGCACCTCCACGGGGGCCTCCCAGCTGGCTGGGGGTGGGGGGCGGGAGAAACGCAGAGAGGGCGCGCCCCCTTTGTGCAGGAGTGAGGGGGTCGCGGCCCCACGGCTCGCGGAGCCGCCCGTGTGTGCGGGCGTGGACGCCGTACTGATGCAGCCACAGTGCGCTTGGTTGTGTCGGTCTGCATTTAGCGAGTGTCAGTATTAAGGTCTGTGGCTTAATCCTCGTGTGACCTTCTACAGGGCAGTGGAGACGACCTCCGCAAGACAATTCAGAAGTGTCGTTGTTTGTGAAATTCTTACTGGAACGTTTTTTTCACAGGCTTCTCAATAATAATCAGATCAAGAGCATACCCAGTGGGTCATTTGAAGACTTGGAGAATCTGAAATACCTGTAAGTAGTGACCAGTTTTCTACACCAGAGTCTGCTGTCTGTATTTGGACTGTTTAATCATTGAGCAAAATTCCGTATTATTATGAATTATTGCAAATACATTCAAGTGAAAAAGAGGTTTTGTTTTCAGAAGGTGAGTGAAATTTTGGCTGGAATTTTTTAAGTGAGTTGTTACAGGGTCAGGTGCTGCTCTGTGTGAATTCTAGTGTCTTATCTGCTAAGCCTTAAGTAAATCGGTTGGACACAATTAAAAACTGCAGTTCTGAAAATCACTGTCTGGTAGCGGTAACCCCTGTGGAGGCGTGCAGCAGCTGCGAGGAGCAGCTGACGCGTGTTCTCTGGGTCTGCGCTTTCAGGGCAGTTTCGGGTTGTCTTCAGCTGTGGGCTGATGGAACCTGGAAATGACGAAGCCCTTTGGAATGTCACTAATTCGTGAATAACTTTCCCATCTTTGCCGAGTGATTTCGTCTCTTATTTTTGTGTAAAGTTTATTTCCCTTTTAAGAATTGATTTGAATTAATGAGTTTATTAGCATTGAAAACATTTGCTTGTTGAAGTCAGTTTTGCAGTTAGAAAATGACCCACTTGGTTCAGTACTTTCACAGGCACTTTTTCTGAAGTTGAAAACTTTAAAAAAACCCTGGGCACATTGCTGGTTCTAACAGATGAGAAGTGAGTGTCATGTGCTTTGAGGAAATTATTCTCAGTTTTACGACTTTAGATAACTGTTCAGCTAGAGTCATTTTAATGAGGGATTTATGTCAGTGATTTTGGGAAAACGTGTAATTCGTGTGAACCTGTGTGTCTTTGGCCCTGTTAAGTTTAGATGAGAGGGTGCTGGTGATCAAGAGGTAACATTAATTCTTTATTAAATGCATTTTCTCCACAAAACTTCTTAAAGTGTTGTGTTTACACAGTTTTCTCTCGCTTCAGTGGCAGCATGTTAATTTTTCATTGCCAGGGTTCACACTAAGCCTTGTTGCTCGTTTTTAAAATGAGGGATAGTCCTCCTATTTATCTTGAGTTTTCATCTGCTTACTTATGTTTTGGTTTTTGATTTTAAAGCAGTGTAATATCCTGAAGGGGCTTCCCTGGTAGCTCAGCTGATAAAGAATTCGCCTACAATGCAGGAGACGCTGGTTTGATTCCTGGGTCGGGAAGATCCCCTGGAGAAGGGTTAGACTACCCATTCCAGTTGGGCTTACCTGGTGACTCAGACGGTAAAGAATCCTCTTGCAATGCGGGAGACTCGGGTTTGATCCCTGGGTGGGGAAGATCCCCTAGAGTAGGGCATGCTACCCACTCCACTATCCTTCCTGGAGAATCCCCATGGACCGAGGAGCCTGGTGGGCTGCAGTCCGTGGGGTCGCAGAAAGTCAGACACGACTGAGTGACTCAGCCCAGCACAGCACAAGCTCCAGAAGAAAGCAGAGGCAGAGTCCATTAACTGATCGCCAGTATTTGCAGTGTGTGTACAAGTTTAGTCTTTTTTATTTTTTAATTTTTAAACTTTTGGGGGCTTGAATTACCCAAGAGCACCTTATTATTTACTCTGAATAAGTTTCCTATTAAGCAGTTTGGGAGTTTGGGACACTCCATTTTTCACTTAAGATAATTATTAGAAATAATATTTTTAATCCTTGTCTGTTGGCGGGATTCCTCCTCAGGTGTCCACGTGCCAGCCTTTCCCCGTCTCCAGCCCAAGGGCATCTGAGCAGCCCACAGTGGCAGGTCCCGGGGTCCCCAGGGGTGGACTGAGTGGTGTTTGGCGGTAATGGAAGGAGGTGGTGGGAAGGGGTCCTGTGAACCCACCGTCCAGCTCCTGGGGTTCCTACCTCCTCCCCCAACTCCCTGGGCCTCATCACTAGGGTCCATCTTGACAGGCACTGATCTAGGAAACTGGGCAACATGCAGTGTGAATGTTTAAGAAGCTTTCGGAATTGATTATTTCATCCTTAGTTCAGTTCAGTCACTCAGTCGTGTCCGACTCTTTGTGACCCCATGAACCGCAGCACACCAGGCCTCCCTGTCCATCACCAACTCCCAGAGTCCACCCAAACCCACATCCATTGAGTCGGTGATGCCATCCAACCATCTCATCCTCTGTCGTCCCCTTCTCCTCCCGCCCTCAATCTTTCCCAGCATCAGGGTCTTTTCAAATGAGTCAGCTTTTCGCATCAGGTGGCCAAAGTACTGGAGTTTCAGCTTCAACATCAGTCCTTTCAATGAACACCCAGGACTGATCTCCTTTAGGATGGACTGGTNGATCCTCCGTCAGGGAGACTGCGGAGCGGGGCCTGCCCGAGTCACCCTGCAGGGCAGTGTGGGGTTTGATCGTCCGTCTACCCGCAGCAGCAGTGGAGGGGTGCCCGGGACAGGTGTCTCCATGCCTGCATTTAGGTGGCCGCGGTAGACATGTGTGTCCTGAGGTCCTGGGCAGACGGGCAGACTCAGCACACATGGGTTTGCAGGGTGGGGAATCGGATGCTTTGGTGTGAATGTCTTCATCCTCAATGAGCCCCTTCTGGAGCTGGCAGACTCCTGGCAAGGACAGGACAGCACACACTTGAGGCCTTGAGAACCACAAGGGTCGGTTTCCAGGGAGCATGGTGTCAGCCACAGGTGACCATAAGTGAGGTCGTGTGGCCCTGCATTTCGGACAGATTTGAATCTCACATGATTTTCACGTGTCACAAAATATTCTTCTTTGAAAATGTTCAGTCATTTAAAAACATAAGAACCGTTCTTAGCCTGCAGGCCATATAGAAATAGGCGCCAGCCCGTTGCGTCGCTCTTCCGATTAGCCTTGGTTGCTTCTGTTTTAGAAGAATGGGATCTGAGTGGATGACTGGGTCCAGACGAATTTAGTCTTTGTAATTTCTATTCCCTAGATTATTTCTGGGCGTTTGAAAGTGGGCTTCCCAGGTGGCTCAGTGGTAAAGGATCTGCCTGCTGATGCAGGAGATGCAGGTTCGATCCCTGGGTTGGGACGATCCCCTGGAGGAGGGCATGGCACCCACCCCAGTATTCTTGCTTGGAGAATGCCATGGACAGAGGAGCCTGGTGGGCTACAGTCCACGGGGTCATGAAGAGTCAGGCAGGACTGAACATGCACGCACACATTTGAAACTGTATCGGTGTCAGTCCCAGAGCCTTACCTTCAGTGCCTTGTACCTGTTTGTCAGGAAATTTTATTTTCTTCAGGCTCTGAAGCATGTGCTCTGTCAGCCGTTCATAACTGCCCGCCAGCAATCCGTGCGTCTGGGGTGTGGTGGCCTGACGTCTCCAGTAGGAGGTTTTCCCTGGGTAAGGAGCGAGGAGCCCCCTTGGAGGAGCTCTCCTAACTGTGCAAGCGTTCTGTTCGTGTCCTCACACGGCTGTGAGCTTGGACACTGTCTCCAGGCCCGAGCGGAAGTCTCGTCGCCCCGAGTGCCAGCGTGGCGCGTGTTAACCCCGTGTTTCTTGTTGCAGCCTGGCGCGTGCTGACCCCGTGTTTCTTGTTTCAGCTATCTGTACAAGAATGAGATCCAGGCGATTGACCGGCAGGCCTTCAAGGGGCTTGCCTCTCTTGAGCAACTGTAAGTGCCCCCTGCTCTGGCTGTCTTGGACTTCACTTGCCCCTCACCTCTCGCCCGGAGCGCGGGCCCCGTCTGCTGCCTGCACGATGCATGTCTGTGCGGGGGGACACGGGTGTTGCATGCAGACCACAAAGCCGCGGTGCCTCCCTCTGCTCGCGTCCTGGGCCCTGCGTCCCCAGACAAGGGCCAGGAATACCAGCTGACCTCTGCCGCTCCGTGGTCGAGACAGCCTCGCAAACAGGTCTGAGCAGCTGGAGGTCTTTTGGGGAGAAGTGGGGACGAGGAGGCAGTCGTCCTTGCGCAGCATTTCCTGTTTGTGAATCTGCACGTCGAGGCTACTTCCCTCGCTCATGACATCATTATTTTGGAGAAAATAAACTTTCCTCCATGTGTTTCCAGTTAGGGAACACCGGATGCCGTTTCTGGGGCCTCGTATGCAGTCCTGCTCTGCTATGAAGTCAGCCTGTCCATTTTAAGCAGAGCTCCCGGTTAGAGGCGTTTCTCTGACCTGCTTATTCCTTGGCCAGCGCTGGGCTGTCCCTCGCTGGTCTGGAATCACCATGTGCCAGGCAGTTTCGTCCCGCGATGCCGCAGTGGAGCAGGATGTTTTTGGTGTTCTGTCGGTTGGCAGGACTCAGAAGCTTCCCCAGAGACCTCGAGGCGGAACTGGGGAGGCCTCACCCAAAGCAGGAGCTTCCTAAGCACGCGCTGGGCTCGTGCTTAAATACCTGTTTATTTATTCGGCTGAAAGCTGCTTTCCCGGCCCGCTGTGCTCGGCGTGGACTGGACTGGGGGAGGTTGGCCTGAGGGCTGCGTGCACAGAGGTCAGGCCATTGCAGGGACCTGTGGGCATCTGGAGCGGCGCGGGGGAGGGAGGCTCCCCGGGAGCATGTCCCCGCGTCCCTGTCGATGTGAAGGGGTCGGGGCTGGGCGAGACTTGCTCTCTGGAGGCTCTGGCCTTGGGGTTGAGGGAGTGAGCTGGGTTGTTTTGGAGGAAAACAGAGCCCCAGTCGGGGCAGAACGGGGAGGGAAGGGAGTGGCACCCCCCGCGGCGAGGTCTGAGTGGATGCTTTCAACTAAGGCCCTGGGGACCCCGGGAGGCACTGGGCAGGGGTCTCTGCTGCAGAGACTTGGAGGTAAAGAGACTGCTCGGACCTGGGCCGAGGGAGAAGGGGCATGTCCCCAAGGAGAGCAGGCTCAGGTCCGCCACCCGTGAGTGCCCACCCCTGGGGCTTCCACGTCCTGTGGGAGCTTGTGCTCGGCTAAAGGCGGGGCTGGTGCGATGTGGGGGCGGGAGGAGGCTGAGGCCCTGTCTGCCCAGCATCTCTGCCCTCTCAGGCGTTGAAGGAGGAGGGCAGGCCGGTGCGAGTGTTTCGACTTTGTTTGAATCTATTGGGGGGGGCCTCACTAATGGGCTGTGTGCACAGGCTCCCCACCCCGCTGCTGGCCTGGGCGAGGCTCGTGCAGGGGGGCCTCACTGATGTGGCCCCCCGCCCCGCTCCTGGGCTGGGCGAGGCCGTGCAGCCGGCGCACACCCAGAGCGGGGAACCTCGTGAGGGGCTGCGGCCTGAGGTCCCCGGCTGCCTGGTGTCCTCCGGGCTGCTCTCTGCCCCTCCGTTGGAGCCGCCCCGGGCTCTCTGGAGCCTGCAGGCTGGTGTCGGGCACTGAGCCGGGTGGGCCCCCTTCCCTCCCTGGGCCCGTTTCCTCTCTGTCAGGGGGGTGGCCTCGAGGCAGCATCCACGTCTGGCCACCCGCAGGGCCGGCCCGTAGGTTTTTAAACCCAGCATCAGGTTGCAGCTGCTGTGTCGTGCCTTCTCTTCCCTGTTGTCCTCGCCCAGGATTCACCGTGGGCCTGGCTGGCAGGTGGGCCCCCCGATCAGCCCGGCTGGGCTGCCCACACTGACTGCTGGGCGCGCGCATCCTCCGCAGTCAGGACGGAGCTCTCCTCCTGCTCCTGCCCGGCCACCCTGCCCTGAGGCCCCCTCGCAGGCGAGTAGGGCGCTGGGCACAGCCCAGCCCACCAGGCTGCCGGGGGGAGGCGGCCCAGCAGCCTGGCACCGCGCGGTCCCTGCGTGTGTTCCCAGCGTCTGGCCCGGGAGAGTAGACCCCCGGGGGCCGGAGTGTCCGGAGGGGCCCCTGTGCAGACAGCATCAGGTGACTCGGCCGTTCTTCTGAGGGGAAAACCCTCCAGTTTCACAGCGAGAAGAGCGGAATTCAGGAGAACCAGAACTTAGTTTTACGGAAACCGTGTCCTTCATAGAAAGCAAGGACTCATCTTCCATGGACAGCGTCTGAGCGCTGATGCTCTGTGTAGTTAGCCCAGGGACGTCTGAGGAGGTGCAGTGTTCACTTACTCGGGCAGTTTCTTCTGTTATCTGTGTGGTGGTTGTTTCTGCAGCTGAGAAACATCATCCCCAGCGTCCCTTTGAAGTGTCCGTTAGGCTCCTAAATCCATCTGTGAGTTAGACGGTTGGAACGAAGGCGTTCACATAGCTGCGTGTGTGGTGAGGTGAAGATTCTGTTGGGTTTTCTAGAAAGGTCCGTGTCTGTGGAGCTGGGCATCCCTGGTCCTGCCCCCATTGGGAAGGGAGGAGGCCCGCTGGGCGAGCCAGACCCTTCCTCACACCGCTCCGTCCGCCACTTAAAGTCTGCGCCCAGTTCTCCATGGTCTTGAACCTTCCTGCTGGATGACTTAATTTGATCTGCATGCAATGTAGGAGCTCTAGAGAGTTATCTATTGATGTGTGGATTCAAATGACTTAGAGAAAACATGTGTTCAGCGAAACTCTAGCTCTGTAGAAACACAGAATTGCTTACAACTTGTTTCTTGTCCCCTTTTTAAAAATCTTCTCTAGATACCTGCACTTCAATCAGATAGAAACTTTGGACCCAGAGTCGTTTCAGCATCTGCCGAAGCTGGAGCGGCTGTAAGTCCCCTCTGCCTCCTGGTCCCCTTCTCCACCCGCGGTTCTGGGGCTCCCGACTCGGCCCTTCCCCTGTAACAGAAAGAGCACCTCACCTGTCAGACTCGGGGACTTCTCAGCAGGGAATCTGTGCTCCCCCGACAGTCCAGGAGTGGCAGTAGCAATAAGATGGGGGGATTGCAGTTATTTTCTCTTCTCAGTAGTGTTGCTCTCAAGTTCGTTTCTGTTAAACAAAGGCAGTCATGGAGATACTCTTTAAAGGCTGATTGATTGGACTGTGTTTACTCTTTGCAACATGCCTAAGAAGTATTTTAAAGAATCTCTTTGGTTTATTATCTCTTTCAACAGGTTTTTACATAATAACCGAATTACACATTTGGTTCCAGGGACATTTAATCACTTGGAATCTATGAGAAGATTGTAAGTATGTGACCTTCACGCTGTCTTTCCAGCAGAGACGGCTTCTCCATGCTTTACAGTTTCCTCCCTATTCACGGGGTATTTCGAGGATTTCATCCCACTCTGGATGTGGCTTAGGAAGGGAGGGTGGATTAAACCGTCAGAGCCACAACCCGGGCCTAGCTGACTCCGGAAATGTGGCCTCAGGTTAACACACTAGGCAAGTAAGACTTTTTTAAAAATCAATTTTAAATTCTTCAAATTAGTTTTTAATTCCATGTTAACATATTTTACTGGTGGAAATAAAATCGGCCTAGAAAGAATCTCTAAGCTGTATTCCATTCCTTTTCTTTAGGCGTGCACACAGCTGAATTCTGTCCATTTTCAGATCTCTGAAAAGAAGCTATCTTCACACTGATCACTTCTGACAGAACCAATGACAGAACCAAGGTGTTCTGACAGAACCGATGACAGAACCGAGGTGTTCTGACAGAACCGATGACAGAACCGAGGTGTTCTGACAGAACTGAGGTGTTCTGACAGAACTGAGCTGTTCTGACAGGACCGGTGACAGAACCGAGTTGTTCTGACAGAACCGAGGTGTTTTGACAGAACCGATAACAGAACTGAGGTGTTCTGACAGGACCAATGACAGAACCGAGGTGTTCTGGTACTGGTGGAAGACTCTGTCTCACGTCTTCTGTGTGTTTTTCTCTGAGGTCTTGAAGGCCATTGTTTCTCAGTTAGGTATTACTGAGTGTGAACAATGAACTAGACTTAAGAGAGAGACAGAATAGTCACATTGCCGAGCCTGGACCCAGAGTGGACTTTTGTTTTTCTCCTCAGTGAATAAGGCACAAGCTTTCCTCACTATTTACAGTCTTTTTCTTTAGGATAAAGAATAAAGAAATCTCTAGCCAGATGTCAAGCTAGGTGGCAGATAAGATAACTGCTGCCTCTTCAACAGATAAGAGAGCAGGAACGAGGTTGCCAGGCGTTACCTGGATAGTCAGGGCAGACGGGGCCTCCCTGAGACCAGAACAGGCTGGCAGGGCTCTGTCCCTGCCTTCTTTCTGCCCTGAGTCTGCATCGTGGCCTCTGCCCATCTGTGACACCTCAGACTTCTCGGTCCCATCAAGGTCCCCCAACCCCGGGATGGCCAAGGGAGCGTGCAGCTGGGGGCTTCCGGCCAGTGTCACCCACTTGGGCCCGCCTGCCCACCCTCTGTCCCCGGGGCCCGCCCTAAGCACAGAGGTCCTTTTCCCAGTGGGGCTGAGGGGCTGGCAGGCGCCGGGCAGGTCCCTGAGGCGGGGGGAGCTCTGGCGGGTCTGCGTGGAGCCCCGTAGACCCCGACAGCCACACTCATCGGAGCTGACCATCTGGAGAGGGGCCAGCCCTAGCTGCCGCTCCTGCCACCCCAAGGCACCCTCAGAGAGAGGGTCTGATGTTGGGCTTGCCTCCCAGGGAGCCCTGGCCCACTGGGGGAGCTGAGTGGATGCCTGCAGGCAGGCCCTTGGCTCTGGTCCCAGGGGGGCCCCTGCCCAGCGTGGCCAGCCTGCAGCTGCCTCCTTGGGTCTGAGCAGAGCTGGTTTCCGGCCTCTGGCCAGCACGTGTCAGGTCAGGCAGCCACGGTTTCTGGTCCATCCGCTACACCCCTCACCTGGGGCTTTGCCACATAAACGGCCGTCATGCCGAGGGCGGAGGTGGCACCTTGCCTATTTCTCCTGTTGGGAGGGTCGAGTCCACCTTCACGGGCCCCCTCCCTGGGGGCTTGCGGGGCCATTCAGCCCCTGAGAGGTGCCCCTCGGGGGAGTCGGGGTCCCGTGAGATAATCCCGGGAGGCGGCAGGTGGCGGGGGTGGTGCTTTGCTTGGGGATTCCCGTGTCGTCCGTCTCACGCAGGCTCTCGTGTGCGCCGGCTCCGCTAGCCCACGTCAGTCCTGCTTCCACCCTGCGTCTCACGCCTTTGATCGCGCAGCACCACCCTTTACTGTGTCTCTTGGGCTCCCTGCTCCCCGGCTCTGCTTCTGCCGAGTGTGGGTCCTGCGGGTCGGCTCCTGGTCAGGCAGGCCCGCTTAGACTCCATCGTCGGCAGCCCCTGCCCCACGGGCCCGTCTGGGCTGGGCCGCCCTGCGCCCCGCGTCTCATGGCCTCACCCCCGGCCTCCTCGCAGGCGCCTGGACTCCAACGCGCTTCGCTGCGACTGTGAGATCCTGTGGCTGGCAGACCTGCTGAAGGGCTATGCGCGGTCAGGAAACGCACAGGCCGCGGCCACCTGTGAGTATCCCAGGCGCATCCAGGGCCGGTCCGTGGCCACCATCACCCCGGAGGAGCTGGACTGTGGTGAGTGCGTCTGGAGGGTGGGGCGCGTGCAGCCCTGTGTCCGTCTGTCCCCGGGGACCCCATGAAGCGAGTCTGGGTGGGCCTCACTGGGTCCCCGCTGCAGAGTCTGTCTGCAGTATCTGTAGGAAACTATTTGGTAATAAATGTGAGTTTTATTGTCAGGTTTCCCTGCAAAAAAAAAATTAGCAACATGAAATGCATCAGGTCGTCTGTTGCTCCTTCCAACCCTCTGCCTTTAGAGGCTGCAGCTGCCGGGCGGCGGGGCCTGTGGAGGGAGGGGGCAGCTCCTGGGGGAGGGCTTGGGACTGCCGGCTGGGAGCTGGCCACCTCCTTTGTCTGGATCTGGGCGGTGGCCACGAGGGGTGGACGAGCCTGGGTTCATTCAGCTGATTCACCTGTGTGCTGCCTGCAGGCGCGTGACCCCTCACCACAAACAACAGTCAGAGCCTGCAGGGCAGGATCTCCCATATTCGTAAATGCCGAGGAACTCAGCTCATCGGCTTAGCACGCTGTTGGAGTGGGAAAATTGGCTTTTCCAAGGCATCATCTTTATATTCATATATTACAAACAGAATCGACTGCAGTCGAAAGTCACTCTGTTTCCTGGTAACGCAGCAGTTCAGTCCCTTGCTGGTCACCATTTGTGACCTCTCATGACCATCCCTTTGCGGTCGGGGTCCTGGCCCCTTGCGTGTGCGGGTGACTGACTTCACCCCGGGCGGCCCTGTGATCTTTGTGTCCTGCCCTCGCCCGTGAGGGCTGGTCTGGTGGCAGGGGTCTCGCGGTGGGCCTGAGGTCCTGGAAATGCTGTGGTTCGGCTCTGGAGCAGTCTTCTCCGTGGAGAAGCTGTTCTCGCTGGCCGTCCTCACAGGACTGTTTTTGGTTTGGACATGATTTTCTCTCGAACCAAAGGGGCTCGCTCTGGGCTCCTGTTCGCACGGTGGTCTAGGACCAAGACAAGAGGGTCTGCTTTCCTTTTGGTGCAGAAAGGCCGCGGATCACGTCGGAGCCGCAGGACGCCGACGTCACCCTGGGCAACACCGTCTTCTTCACCTGCAGGGCTGAGGGCAACCCCAAGCCCGAGATCATCTGGCTGCGGAACAAGTGCGTGCTTCCGGACGGGGTGCTGGGCGCCGGGTCCTAGACATCGGACGGGGTGCTGGGGGTACTGGACAGGGTGCTGGGGGCCCCAGGTCCCAGCCATCAGACGGGGTGCTGGGGGTACTGGACAGGGTGCTGGGGGCGCTGGGTCCCAGCCATTGGACAGGTGCTGAACTCTGGGTCCCAGCCGTCAGAGGGGTGCTGGGCGCCGGGTCCCGGCCGTCCCGGTACCCCAGGAGCTCCAGGTTGCCTGCCCACCCTGACCTTTCCTCCTCCTCCCACCCAACCCTTCCTGCTCCTCCCCGGAAGGAATGCAAAGAGGAGGAGACGTTTCTCTGGCACCTCCGGTGGTCTGTGCCTCGAGGCCAGAGTCCCTGGGCTGGGACCTGACGCCCGGGGAGGACTAGGTGTTTCCTGTGCTTTGGGGGCCTGAGCCAGCCAGGTCTGTCATTATAGCAATGAGCTGAGCATGAAGACGGATTCCCGCTTGAACTTGCTGGATGACGGGACCCTCATGATCCAGAACACGCGAGAGACGGACCAGGGCATCTACCAGTGCATGGCGAAGAACGTGGCCGGGGAGGTGAAGACGCAGGAGGTGACCCTCAGATACTTCCGGTCTCCAGGTAGGCACAGAGCTCCGCGGACACTCAGCCCTTCCCGAATCCCCTTCCTCCCCGTCGCTCCCTTCTCTCTCTGCCCCTGGTGGTGAGAGACAGACACCAGTGTCCCGGCTGAAGCACCAGCAGCGGGGTCGGCTCAGGGTCACGCGTGACCCCCGACCATCGCTCTGGTCCACTGCCAACCCTGCATCCAGGTGGTCACTCAGAGTGGCCGTGGGTAGCTGCTGCTGGGGTCACTGTCCAGAGGGCTGTGGACACCTGGGGAGACAAGTGCCCCTGCCCAATGCCTCCGCTTGCGGTGGTCCTGAGGGCATCTCACTGGCTGCCCCCTGGCAGTGGGCTTGCTCTTGTGCTATAGGCCTTGGCGACTTTAAAAGAAACCCAAAATCTGAATTTTGATGCAAAATTCCCATATCTAAAGTACTGGTACCTGATCTGAAAAGATAGTTGGAGCCAAAGGAAGCACAGCTACGTCCTTGGATTGGCCTGGGTCACACCAGGTTACAAAGCCCACTCTTGTCCAAGTGTTGACCCTTGGGACTTGGGCCAGAAGAGGAGCTGGCCTTTAGAGAAGAGCCTGGGGGTGACCCTGGCCCCAGGGCCTAAAAGAAACCCAAAATCTGAATTTTGATGCAAAATTCCCATATCTAAAGTACTGGTACCTGATCTGAAAAGATAGTTGGAGCCAAAGGAAGCACAGCTACATCCTTGGATTGGCCTGGGTCACACCAGGCTACAAACCCCACTCTTGTCCAAGTGTTGACCCTTGGGACTTGGGCCAGAAGAGGAGCTGGCCTTTAGAGAAGAGCCTGGGGGTGACCCTGGCCCCAGGGCCGCTGGACACAGCGCAGCTGGCTGCGGTGCCGCCACGGTTCTAGTCTTCCTCCTGTGAGTGGTCCTGAGTCTGTGTCTCTCTCGTGCTGTGATTCAGGGCCTTGCAACACCCTCGGCAGCAGGATGAGTGATCTCTGTGGTTCTCTGTTTAGAGTCTTACTATGAGAACTGTGTATGCCTCCGTGTATCCTGGCAGAGACATAGTCCAGATTGACTGATGAATGAGAATCGCTGGCTCTCAAACACCAGTTAGAGGAATGCACAGGGCAGATAACTGCAGCGGCAGGATGAGTGATCTCTGTGGTTCTTTGTTTAGAGTCTTACTATGAGAACTGTGTACGCCTCAGTGTATCCTGGCAGAGACATAGTCCAGATTTACTGATGAATGAGAATCCCCAGCTCTCAAACACCAGTTAGAGGAAAGCACAGGGCAGATAACTGCAGCCAAATCAAACCCCTTTAATCCCAGGTTCCCCATGTGGAACCAGGCGTCCAGGATCTCTGCAGAGCCACACGGCTGTGAGTCTGCCAGAGAAGACAGGGCTCCTGGCGGCTAAGGAGCTTGTGCTTGGTTTGTAAGGACCAGGGGAGCCCGTGTGATGTGGGTCGCAGTGGCGCCGTGCTGGAGGGACAGGTCAGGACAGAGGGAGTAGCAGGATGTGAACAGTGCGAGTCCTTAGCACAGCTGCTGTGATAACGGGGCGGGTGATCCCCCGGTGGGAACGGTAGAGTCTCCCTCTGGCCCGAGAGTTCCAAATCTGACCTCTTTTGATCTGAATTTTCGTTTGTTTCTCAGGGACGAGAGCCTTCCTTAGTACACCAGTCTGAGCTTGTTGGCCTTGCTCCCAGAAATGCACGTGAAGGGTCTCCTACAGGGGGATGGGAATGTCACTGCAGTGACGGGAAGGTCACTGCAGACTCAGGGGTCAGCCAGTCAGCTTGGACCAGGGGCTGCCCAGCCTGGACCACTGCCTGGTTTTAGAAAATCTTTACACTAAGAATGTGTTTTACCTTTTTTATGCGATTGAGGAACTTAAGAATAGCATTTTAGAATACATGATAATGAAATTAAGTTCAGATTTCAGTGTCTGTTGATTAAGTCTTTTTGGAACATAATTACACTGACAGATTTATGGCGTAAAAAGCCCAAAATATAGGCACTGAGCCCCTTTATGGAAGTCTGCCAATCCTGTGATATAGATGATGATGATGGACCCATTTGTAAGTTTCCATGAGTCACAAAGGGGTAAATGTACTTTATCTATTTTCAAGCTCTGTTATTAGGGGCATATTAGTCTGCAGTTTTTATCTTCCTCATGAATTAGACTTTGGTTATTAACACTTTCGCCTCTATCAATATTTTTTGCCTTAAGATTGATTTGATTTTATACAGAGGCAACCAGTTTTCTTTTAATTAGTTTTTATCACCTGTACGTTTCCCACCATTTTGCTCTGCTTTAAACTGTCACAGAATCTCAGATAACATCATTATCAATATATAAAGTCCTATTCAGTCCTATGAGTGTTCAGTAAGTGGAATAGATGAGGACTGTAAGTAGCTTTGTGCTAAATGGATCAAGGTTTGTAAACAAAGAAGTTACAAAAAGATTACTTATTTTTGGAGCTTTTTGGGTTGGAAAATTGTGGATAAGGATGTCAGCCCAAAGGAACAGCACAGCAATAAGTCCTTTTTAAAAAACATGTACTGTTCTATAAGCCTATTAAAATACCTATGGGGTAATGTCCCAGCAGAGTAATTTCTGAGCGGAAGGGTGAGTGAATGTCCGGTTTTGATCCACGTGGCCGCATTTCTGTCCTGGTGGACCAGGGTGGTTTGTGCTCCTGACGTGTTAGAAACATGTTTTGTTTCTGTACATACTCATCTCAAGAGCTCAATAATTAATATGTGGATTTTTTTTTTCTGGATTTAGAGTCAGAAACTATTATCATACTATTCATTTGTATTTTCCTTCTTGTGAGAGAAATTTGTTATTTCTGTATGTTCTAAATACCCTTTAAAAACAGTGTTTTGTAACCAGTAAGAACTACTAGCAAGGGTTACTTGCTAACAAGACTGACAGTGCTTTTAGAACCATCAGAAGTGAGACTGGGCCAGAATTCAGTCCATGGTTGAAAAAGGAACCGGTTCTAACCGGTCAGCACTGCTGCTGCTGGCTTAACCTGAGGCCATGCACCATCTTTATGGTCTGCATGTTTCTTTAAAAAGGAAAGGAGACAAAGCATGCAGTCGGATTGAATTGGTTCTACTTATTTTAGACGTCAATAGGCAGAACGAGTAGAAAACCCAAGCAGAACCGTCTGCTAGGCTGGAGGATGTTGATTCCGAATCTGTCTCCCGTGGCAGCTCGCCCGGCATTTGTGATCCAGCCCCAGAACACAGAGGTGCTGGTGGGGGAGAGTGTGACCTTGGAGTGCAGCGCCACGGGCCACCCCCCACCGCAGATCACCTGGACCAGGGGCGACCGCAGCCCCGTGCCCACGGACCCCCGGGTGAGCATCACCCCGTCCGGCGGCCTCTACATCCAGAACGTGGAGCAGGAGGACAGCGGGGAGTACACCTGCTTCGCCTCCAACACCGTGGACAGCATCCACGCCACGGCGTTCATCATCGTCCAAGGTGAGGCCCGTCCGCGTGGAGCCCCGGCTCCCTGGTCTCCCTGGCCTGCCCTGGAGCTCCACTGGATCCCCCCTTCCCAGAGCCTGCCGAACCTTATCCCGTCCCTGAGGACCCTCCGTGGGACTGGAGACAAGTTTATTTTCCGCCCTCATGCATCAGGCGGTCAGGGCTCTGTTTCTTTGCTGTGTTCTCCATGTGAATGTGGGTGTGCGTGCCAATTCACTGCTGTCTAGAAGTTTGGCACACATCTTGGAATTTCCTTAGGGTTGATTTTTGAACGGAGTCTGAGAGTATATGTAGTTCTGAGACTTAACGTTGTGTATCTTCAAAGTCCTTAACTGGCTAGAATGAGTTTGAGTAGTTTTCAAGTCTAATCGCAAAGTGGGACTTTGGTTGACAAGTGCTAGGACAGCAGAGTGTGAATGCAGAAACAGAGTTTTCCCCCCTGTCTCCCCGTCAGCTTTTCCAGCCTCCGGCGGAAGCAGAGTCGCTCAAGCTGGTGCCTTTTGCTCTGTCCCCTGGCTCGCTCTTTGCACGTATGACTGTGCAGTCGTGTTGTTCGGCTTTGGTTGTGGCTGTTGTGTGTGCTAAGTCGCTCCAGTTGTGCCTGACTCTCTGTGACCCCATGGACTCCAGCCTGTCAGGTCCTCTGTCCATGGATTCTCCAGGCCAGAATCCTGGAGGGGGTAGCCACATACTCCTCCAGGGGATCTTCCTGACACAGGGACTGAGCTCCTGTCTCCGGCATCTCCTGCATCGGCAGGCCGTTTCTTTACCACTAGCGCCACCTGGGAAGTTGGCTTGTTGCTTTTATAAAAATGGAATTATATTGGATATATTTATTCTGTAATTTACTTTTGTCTTTTTCACCCAGTAATAATAGCATGACTCCTGTCACCGCACACAGTTGCACTAGATAACATTTTACCCATTTGCAAATACATTCAGTTTAGGCTGAGGAGATGAACCTGGGCCCTTTGCAGGAAGCGAGGCTGGTCGTTAGGGAGTTCTGTGCTGTTAGATTAGTAGTCTCCGCACACGCGAGCGTGTGATGCTGAGAGGCACCCGAGGCGTGGTCTTCTTCCTGCTCTGCATCCTTTCACTCTCTGGCCTCTTCCTCCCTCCCTGGGATGCTGCACCAGCAGAGGGGTCCTGATGGGCCCTGGGTGAGGGGGGAGGGCTCACTCCGGGAAGGAGACTGACTTTGCACCCAGAGCTGTCCCCTGAATGCCTTGTTTCCGCGTCTTTCCCTCCATAAGCGCTTCCTCAGTTCACCGTGACGCCCCAGGACAGAGCTGTCATAGAGGGCCAGACGGTTGAGTTCCACTGCGAGGCAAAGGGCTACCCGCAGCCCGTCATCGCCTGGACGAAGGGAGGTGAGTGGCCAACAGGGCAGCGACCCACGCTGTCTCCCCTCGCTCCCTGGGGCACAGTGCCCTGGGCAGGCCACAGCAGCGGAATCAGAACATGACCCAAAGCCGTGGCGTGTCCGGGTGGACCTGTCCTCACCGAGGACCAGGGCGGCAGGCCTTGGGGCCGGTGGCTCCAGGCTGGACCCGGGGATAGCAAGCTGCTCAATCCTTCCGTCCCTCAGTCAGGCCTCCACCTGGCCCCGAGGCTCCGTCTGCCGCCCCGAGGAAGGCCAGGCTCCTGCGCCTGCGTCCATGTCGCTGAGAGCGCGTCCCCGTCTTGCAGGGAGCCAGCTGTCGGTGGACAGGCGCCACCTGGTCCTGTCATCAGGGACGCTGAGGATCTTGGCAGTCGCCCTGCACGACCAGGGCCAGTACGAGTGCCAGGCTGTGAACATCATCGGCTCCCAGAGTGTCGCTGCGCACCTGACCGTCCAGCCCCGAGGTAGGCGGTGGTCCCCACCCTCCCCCAGGGGACCAGCCCTGGACTCACATCCTGAGACCTTAGTCACAGCCAGAATCGTCCGTGTCAGCCGTGGGGACCCTGATCCTGGGGGGTGCGGGCATGGCGGGCTCCTACAGTTCAGTGGGCTGTGCTTCCACTGCTAATTTGTGCCCCGTGTTGTGGCTAGCCTGGCCTGGGGGAGGGGGCTGGAGGCTCTGCCTGCAGAGCGTCAATAGGGCTTGGGGGCCTGGTCTGATCCGGCCGACGGGCTCTGGGTTCCCTTCCCGTCCTGAGCAGGCAGGACAATGGATGACCCGTGAGTGGGGCCGTCAGCTGGTGCCCTGCCTGCTCGCCTCATCACCAGCTCCTGGGGGTTGAGGCCTTGGACTCACATGCAGGGCAGGAGCCACGTGGACAGGCGGGCCGCTGCCCCGAGGCTGCTGCTCACCGGGAGGCTGGTCTGCCTGGCCCCAGTGAGGGTGCTCGGGGCCCCGGGCCCGCCCTGACCGGGGCCGGGGTCTCTGCCGCGGACCTTGAGCTGCCTGGGCTCTGCGCAGTCAGCCTCTGTTCTTGCCTTGCAGTTACCCCAGTGTTCACCAGCGTCCCCAGGGACATGACGGTGGAGGCGGGCAGCAATGTGCAGCTGCCCTGCCGTCCCCAGGGCGAGCCGGAGCCCGCTGTCACCTGGAACAAGGTAAGGGCTGAGGCGCCCAGGCCTGCCGTCGCGGGGAAAGAGCCAACCTGAACAGGACAGTCTCGGGACATTCGCCCGTACATGTCCTTCTAGGTGACAGAGCGAAAGAGTGCCCCTTGTTAGGTCCTTGGTCCTACAATCACAGAGATTTTCTGGTGTCCCGTTTCACTGTGGTGTTCTTACTGAGCCCAGCACAGAAAAGCCAGTCTACATTTAACTATAAACAAATTGTTTAATGTAAGACGCTTTCCTGGAGGCCGTGAAGTGGTTCCCTGGGAGGGAGGTGGGGTCCTCGGGGCCTTGACGCCTCCGCCTCCCTTGCTTCCTCCTCGTCCTGGGAGGTCACCTGCCTTCCTTGGTGACACATCTGCCCTGGCTGCTCCCACACCCCGGGTGCCCCGCTCTGCACCCCCAGCCCAGCACACGTCCCACGAAGCTCACCTTTTGTGCCCCAGGATCCTGCAGAGTCCCACAGAGTGAGGTTTGTGTCTTAAGCTTTCTGGGTCTTTTGCAGCAGGTAGGAGGGGTTCCCGCCCTTGAATCTGCAGTGGGCAGGATCGTCCCAGTGTCTGGTGGGCCTGAGAACAGCCGTCAGGAGGGCTCCATTCGCGGGGCCCCAGCACGTGGTGCCCCGCCCCCAGGAGAGACCCCTCAGGTCCTTGGTCTGATTCCCGCGTCCTCTGTGCTTATTTTGCTCCAGGATGGGGTTCAGGTGACAGAAAGCGGGAAATTTCACATCAGCCCCGAGGGGTTCCTCACCATCCGTGACGTTGGGACTGCAGACGCTGGCCGCTATGAGTGTGTGGCACGGAACACGATCGGGCAGGCATCGGTCAGCATGGTGCTCAGTGTGAACGGTGAGGCCGCAGAGTGGACGCCCCGCAAGGTCGGAGGCCGTTAGAGGACAGGGCATGTCCTGTGCTTATTTTGCTCCAGGATGGGGTTCAGGTGACAGAAAGCGGGAAATTTCACATCAGCCCCGAGGGGTTCCTCACCATCCGTGACGTTGGGACCGCAGACGCTGGCCGCTATGAGTGTGTGGCACGGAACACGATCGGGCAGGCATCAGTCAGCATGGTGCTCAGCGTGAACGGTGAGGCCGCAGAGTGGACGCCCCGCAAGGTCGGAGGCCTTTAGAGGACAGGCATGTCCACTTTTGCCCAGAGACACAGCCCCCCCCGCCTCCCCGCCACCCGCCCTAGGCTCTGAGAACGCTGTGGCTGCACGCTTGGAGGGCCTCCTCGCGCTGGGTTTTGTAGTTGGTTTAGTGGTCGCCCACACCCTCTGGAGTTCTGCACCATGTAATTTGCAGCTGCCGTTTGGCAGAAACGCAGACGCAGCTCCTGCTCTGAAGGAGTCGCGGCCCTTCGTTCTGCTTTCTGTCTGTCCTGAGCGCGTGTGGCCTCGTGCGGCCCTGGGGCGTTCTCACTCTCCATCTGAAACCCACACGAGGGCAGCGACTGTCCCCTTCCCTGGTCTGGTCCTGCCCCAGGGCCTGGCGGGCCCGCTCTGTGCTGACTGGCCGTGCTTCTCCACCATCCCAGAGCTGCAAACCTCGGATGTGCCCCTCGGTTCCGAGCAAACGGTAAAATGCAGGCCTGTGGCTTTTCATAGGTCTTACAGCTCCACCCGGACCTGCACTTGGCAAGTGGAATTTATTTCTTCCCAAGCAATAGTCATAGAAAAGTAATTCAAAAACGCATTTACGTAACTTTTAAAAAAGGATAAAGAAAATTCACTAAAATGTGGTTATTTTGGAGATCGTGGGTGGAAGGTTATTTTTATATTTCATGTGTAAGTAATTCATGGTAAAGCAACATTATTTTTCAAGTATAAAAGAAATGGAAAAAACACCATTTTATACATGGATGCCCCAGGTGGTTCCTTGAGGCTGTGGGCACATCTGCATGTCTCTTTTTTTTTTTCTTTTTTTTAATGTTAAATGACCTTATTTTCCCATTATATTAGACTGGAGTGATTATAAATTAAATCAGTGGATTTCCTGATTTAAAAACAAATTCAACTTAAGTTGCTGGTAATAACGAAATGTTAGGTGATAAAATTATGTAAGATTGTCCTGTCCGTTTGTCTGATATGTGGCATTAGATACATAAAACCTATAAAAATATTAGGTTCTAAAAATTGCCTAATCGGGGGGCTTCTGGTTCAAGGTGGCAGCATAGAGGGACGTGTGGAAGGACGTGGGCTCATCTCCTGTGAGGACACCAGAGTCACAACTAGCTGTTGAGCAGCCATTGACAGGAGAACACTGGAACCCACCGAAAAAGAGACCCTGTGTCCACAGACGAAAAGATCACAGCGAGATGGTAGGACGGATGCAAGCACGATCAAATCAGATCTCATGCCTGCAAGGTGGGCGGCCCACGACGTGGAGAACAGTGATACAGACAAGTTCTCCCGCTCTTAGGCAGACTCTGAGCCTCACGTCAGGCTCCCCGGCCTGGGGGTCTGACAAAGGGACTGGGTGTCCCCCGGGAGCCTGACCCTGAAGGCCAGCAGGATTCGGTTACAGGACTGGGGGAGACAGAGCCTAGTCCTGGAGGGCACACACAGAATCTTGTCTGTGCCAGGGTCTGGGCGAAAGGAGCAGTGACCCCACAGGAGACTGACCCAGGCCTGCCGGCCAGTGTTGGAGGGTCTCCTGTGGAGGCGTGGGTCAGCAGGGGCTCCTCACAGGGACGGGGGTCCTGGAAGCAACTGTCCTGGAAAGGACCCCTTGGCGTCAGTCCCCATGGAGGTCACCACTCACCCTACCATAGAGCCTGTAGACTCCAGGCCGCTCGGCTCACAGGGCGGGGTCAGTGGGTAACTGGATTACATTTTTACTGAGCAAGACCCAGTTTTTCCCACCACCAGTCCCTCCCACCAGGAAGCTTACACGCGCCTCGTAGCCTCATCCACCAGAGGGCAGACAGAAGAAGCAAGAAGAACCACAGTTCGCAGCAGCTAGGACCAAAACCACATTCGCAGAAAGTTAACCATGATGAAAAGCTTTCATCCCAGATGAAGGGATAAGATAAAACCCCAGAAAAGCAACCAAATAAATTGTAGATAGGCAACCTTCCAGAAAAACAATGTAGAATAATGATAGTGAAGATGATCCAGGATCTCAGAAACATAATGGAAAAGATGCAAAAAATGCTTCGCAAAGACCTAGAGGAATTAAAGAACAAACAGAGATGAAGACTGCTCTGGACGGAATCAGTAGCAGATTAACTGAGGCGGAAGAACAGATAAGTGACCTGGAGGACAGAATGGTGGAATCACTGCCACAGGACAGAATACAGAAAAGGAATGAAAAGAAGTGAAGACAGCCTGAGACCTCTGGGACAGTACAGGCACCAACATTTGCATTATAGGGGTCCCAGACGGAGAAGAGAGAGAGAAAGGACCTGAGAAAATATTTGAAGAAATAGCTGAAAAATTCCCTAACGTGGGAAAGGAATTAGTCAACCAAGTCCAGGATGCATGGAGTCCCAGGCAGGATCAACCCAAGGAGGAACACACCGAGACACACAGTAGTCAAACTGACAGAAACCAAAGACAAAGATAAAATGTGAGAAGCAGCAAGGGAAAAATGACAGATAACAGACAGGGGGACTCCCATCAGGCTGTCAGCGGATTTCTCAACAGAAGCTGTACAAGCCAGAGGGAATGGCATGATATATTTGAAGTGATGAAAGAGAAGAACCTGCAACCAAGAATACTCTACCCAGAAAGACTCTCAGTCAGATTTGATGGAGAAATCAAAAGCTTTCCAGACAAGCAAAAGTTAAGAGAATACATATGTACCAAACCAGCTGTACAGCAAATGCTAAAGGGATTTCTGTAGGCAGGAAACACAAGAGAAGGAAAAAGACCCACACTAAATAAAGCCAAAACAATTAAGAACGTGGCAATGTTTTGCATTAATTGTCACATGTACCGATAATTGCGTTAACCGTAAATGGATTAAAGGCAACAGGCCGGCTGGGTGGCTGAGGATGTGTGCACAGATGCACTTCCGCATCACGCTACTTAACCCTAAACCCTGTGCACTTTTTATATTGTTAGGTTGATCATGTTTCCTTTAGGACTTGCTTGCAATTATAATTATCTTTTGTTTTTGTCTGGCTGTTGATAGTGAAAACTGATAAACATTTGTTGCTATTATATTTTTGCTTATTACAATAATTATGTCACAATTGGTCCACAGAAAATAATAGAATTCTATATCACTGAAACTACCATTTAATAGAAAAACTTCTGAAAGTGAAAGTCGCTCAGTCTCGTCCGACTCTTTGAGACCCATGGACTATACAGTGCATGGTATTCTCTGGGACAGAATACTAGAGTGGGTAGCCTTTCCCTTCTCCATGGGATCTTTCCAACCCAGCGATCGAACCCAGGTCTCCCGAATTGAAGGCGGATTCTTCACCAGCTGAGTCACAAGGGAAGCCCAAGATTAATCACTCTTTAGAATCCAGATGCATAACAGAATTATCTTGGAATTTTTTGGAAACTACAGATGCCCAGTATCGCTGTCCTTCTCCAGGGCTCGGTGTGATCCTGGTGAGCAGCTGGACTGGCCTCTCACTTTATCTAGTTTGCTTCCCTTTTCCTGTTTCGCGGCAGTGCTCCCATTTCAGTTAGGTTACACTTCTTCACTTCTTCTTTGCCGTCGCGCTCTCTCAAGCCGTCATGAAGCGTACTAGAAAAGCTTTTGTGTAGATGTATATTATATTAATATAGTATTTGTTTTGGAAAATTCATGAGTTTTTGCCTAGCTGACAAAATTACGACATTTTGATTCGACTCATTTGACTTCGTATGAAGAGAGAATGCAGATTTCTAATTTATATTCACTCAGAAACTTTGATACAGCTCCGTGTATTTTGGCTTCTAGTATTACTGCTAAAAGTGATTAGTGATTTAAAAGTATTTGAGACTTGAAACTTCTATTCCAATTCTGAGAATATGAAAAAATACTGTGTTGAGAATGCTGTTTTTCAGGCATCTGCTGAGTTATGTGGCAGCCTGGATGGGAGGGGAGTTTGGAGGAGAAGGGATACATATGTATGACTGAATCCCATTTTGTCCACCTGAAACTACCACACATTGTTAATCAGCTATACTACAATGCAAAATCCAATTCAGTCTCTATTTGAGATCAGTGCCAGGAGCGGGGGGTACACCCCGAGGAGGGGGTGCACCCGGAGGAGGGGTGTGCCCAGAACTGCGTGAAGGCAGCATCTCACCAAGGGCATTTTCAACCATGTTGAGTTTTCTAGAAGGCTTGTGTATTTTGAAGGAAAATTTTACTGTTGAGTTAGTGCATGTTGTGGGTGACCTGGCCTGAGGCATTTTTAAAGATTTTAAAAGCTTGGTTGGAACAAAAGTTACTTAGCAAACTAAATGCTAAAAATGCGAAATGCTTCTAAGTGAAAAAGGAGTGAAGAGAGGACAGTGGAAAGGGAGTGGTAACTTCAGAGGAAGCAGGTTCAGGAGCCGTGCACGTGTGTGTGTGCGTGTGTGTGTATGCATGCGCCACGTGTGTATGTGTGAGCACAGCGTGCATGCACACAAGCTGGCTGTAGGATGTCTGATCCTTCCGTGAGAGTTAGGACGAGGGGCGGCAGAGCCTCGGGAGGCGAGTGGGCCGAGGTCCAGCAGCGGGAGGGCTGTCTGTCCCTCGGCAGGAGGCGTCACAGCATCCCCCGGTGGATAAAGCCCAGCAGGGCAGGGCGGCTGCTCAGTGGACCTGAATTGGCCTCCCCGTCAGCTGATGCTTTGCTAGAAGAACTTCGGAGTTTTCAGTTGCAGCTTCTTTGACCCTTTGTGGGGAATCCCATGATTCTAAAGCATCTTTCATGCAGTTTGAAAACAGCTTCTAGTAGAATTTGTGATAAAGAAGCCTAAGTTTTGGAGGGAAACATAGAAACAGCTCTGGAGCAGCGTCCGCGTTGCGGTGTCTGGTCTTTGTTCTGGGACCCGTGTGTGTGTGTGTGTTTGCTGGTAACCCACAACCTCCTGCCTCCTAGTTCCTGATGTCAGTCGGAACGGGGACCCGTTTGTGGCCACGTCCATCGTCGAAGCCATTGCGACTGTGGACAGGGCCATCAACTCCACGCGGACACACTTGTTTGACAGGTATGTGCAGAAGCAGTCAGCTGTGACCCGCGCGTGGGCTGGCTTTACAGGGGGTGTGTGGTTCTGCACCAAGTTCTTATGCGTCTCCTGTCCTTAAAGCAGTGTTTTATTTTGAGAATCATGAACAGCGTTGTGTTAACTTTTCTGGGGGCTAAGATAACAGAAAGGTGTGTCCTTTCCAAGCAGAAGCTGAGCTGTGATTCACAAATAGAACATTTTAGAAAACTTTTGACTCATTCCTTGGGCTTGTTACTCAGTGAGTTGGCAAAAACAAAGTATTTCTTAAGCCATTCATGCGTTTGCTCATCTTGGCAACCCCCAAGTGTTTTTGCTGTGTTTGAATTAAAATAGACTATCTGTGTTTTTTCAGTTGACGTAATGAATTATTCATGTTTAGTGTCTTTTGGTTTTGTTCCTTTGCTTTGTTGCCTTCCATGGAATAAGTAAGGTACGGTGCTTCGTGTCCCTAGAAATGTAGCTGTAGAAACAGGTAACCGCGGTGATTCTCGAGTGACTTCTGTCCCTGTCTTGCCTCCTCGCCCCACCCACCCACCAGCCGCCCTCGCTCCCCGAACGATCTGCTGGCCCTGTTCCGGTATCCACGGGACCCCTACACGGTGGAGCAGGCCCGGGCCGGGGAGATCTTCGAGCGGACGCTGCAGCTGATCCAGGAGCATGTGCAGCACGGCCTGATGGTGGACCTCAATGGAACCAGTCAGTACCTGTGGCGCCATCCCCATGGCCCCTTCCCGGGCGGGTCCAGCCCACCTGGCCCCGCATCTGTGGCGAGCATTGTCACTGCGGTCGGCCTGAGCGGGGACAGTGCTGTGGTTTTCACAGGCCTGGTGGGAGAGCCGGTGGGGACGTGATGTGTGCTCAGCTCGGGGGGCCTGCTGGCCCTGGGCTCCGATCGTCAGGTCCTCTGGGCAGAGGGGAGCCCTGGGAGGCCCTGGGTCCCAGTTAGGGGTGCTAGGAAGGACGCTGGTGGAGCCTCAGCAGGTGCTGTGTGGATGTGGGGGGTCACGCCACCCTGCCCCTGCCCTTAGCATGCCCCTCACCCCGTGAGGCTCTGCGGGACCCAAGGGGGTGAGCACCCAGGCAGCGTGTGGGAGGCAGCACTTCCCAGGCTGGCTCTCGGGCTCAGGAATGGGCTTCCTCAGGGCAGCTGTGACCGAGCCGGGGGCCACCCTAGCCTTCTGTCTGGGAGGCAGGAGCTGCCAGACTTTGGGGTCTGAGCCCAGTGCTGGATGCCAGCTGGCACTGGGAGCCCAGTGTCCTGTCCCTTCAAAGCTTCTCTGGGGCAGCCCACCTCCCCGAGTGTCTGATCGCCTCTCCCCCGGACCGAACAGACTGACCCCCGGGTCTTCACTGCCCTTTGTGTGGGTGTTTAGGACCCTGTCCTCTGCAGAGGGGCTCCGGCTCCCATTTCCTGTAAGTCCAGGTCTAGTCAATCCTGCTGGGCTCTGAGATGCTCTGGATGTGTCCAGCCGTGTGGGGAGCGTGGACGAGCGTGCAGCCCTGGGCGTCTGGCCCGGGAGGGCCTGCGGTAGGACCAGGCGCTGGTGCGTCAGGTCCACTCCTGCTGGAACCTGCTCACCTCCCTGCCTTTCCCCTCCTGGGTCTCTGCGCGAGTCGGGTCCAGCAGGCCCAGCCTCAGGTCGCTGAGCTGCGTCTCCCTCCCCCCCGACCAGGTTACCACTACAATGACCTCGTGTCCCCGCAGTACCTGAGCCTGATCGCCAACCTGTCGGGCTGCACGGCCCACCGGCGCGTCAACAACTGCTCGGACATGTGCTTCCACCAGAAGTACCGCACGCACGACGGCACCTGCAACAACCTGCAGCACCCCATGTGGGGCGCCTCGCTCACCGCCTTCGAGCGCCTGCTCAAGGCCGTGTACGAGAACGGCTTCAACACGCCGCGGGGCATCGACCCGGGCCGGCGCTACCACGGGCACCCGCTGCCCATGCCCCGCCTGGTGTCCACGGCCCTCATCGGCTCGGAGGTCATCACCCCAGACGAGCAGTTCACGCACATGCTCATGCAGTGGGGCCAGTTCCTGGACCACGACCTGGACTCCACGGTGGTGGCCCTGAGCCAGGCCCGCTTCTCCGACGGGCAGCACTGCAGCTCGGCCTGCAGCAACGACCCGCCCTGCTTCTCCGTGGCCCTGCCGCCTGATGACCCGCGGGCGCGCAGCGGGGCACGCTGCATGTTCTTCGTGCGCTCCAGCCCCGTGTGCGGCAGCGGCATGACGTCGCTGCTCATGAACTCCGTGTACCCCCGGGAGCAGATCAACCAGCTCACGTCCTACATCGACGCCTCCAACGTGTACGGCAGCTCTGAGCACGAGGCCCGTGCGGTCCGCGACCTGGCCAGCCAGCGCGGGCTGCTGCGACAGGGCATCGTGCAGCGTTCTGGCAAGCCGCTGCTGCCCTTCGCCGCCGGGCCACCCACTGAATGCATGCGGGACGAGAACGAGAGCCCCATCCCCTGCTTCCTAGCCGGCGACCACCGCGCCAACGAGCAGCTGGGCCTCACTAGCATGCACACGCTGTGGTTCCGCGAGCACAACCGCGTGGCCGCCGAGCTGCTGGCTCTGAACCCGCACTGGGACGGCGACACGGTCTACCACGAGGCCCGCAAGCTGGTGGGCGCCCAGATGCAACACATCACCTACCAGCACTGGCTGCCCAAGGTGCTGGGCGAGGCGGGCATGAAAATGCTGGGCGAATACCGCGGCTACGACCCGGGCGTCAACGCCGGCATCGTCAACGCCTTCGCCACGGCCGCCTTCCGCTTCGGCCACACGCTCATCAACCCCGTGCTGCAGCGGCTGGACGAGGACTTCCGGCCGCTGGCGCTGGGCCACGTGCCGCTGCACAAGGCCTTCTTCTCCCCCTTCCGCATCGTCAACGAGGGCGGCATAGACCCGCTGCTCCGCGGCCTGTTCGGCGTGCCCGGCAAGATGCGCGTGCCGTCCCAGCTGCTCAACACGGAGCTCACGGAGCGGCTCTTCTCCATGGCGCACACGGTGGCGCTGGACCTGGCTGCCATCAACATCCAGCGCGGCCGCGACCACGGCATCCCGCCCTACCACGAGTACCGCGTCTACTGCAACCTGTCGGCCCCCCACACTTTCGAGGACCTGAAGAACGAGATCAAGAGCCCCGAGATCCGGGAGAAGCTGCAGCGGTGGGTGTGGGGGCCGTGGGGGCGGGGGGCGAGCTCTCGGGAGCCGAGGTTCCATCCCTGCCGGCCGAGCCAGGGAGGGTGGGGTGGAGTCTGGAGTTAGAGGGTGCAGTGGAGTCTGGAGTTAGAGACGGGGGTGCTGCTGAGTGCACGCACCGGCCCCAGGTGCTGGCAGGACAATGAGTCCTGAGCCCTGAGGCTTGTCCATGTCCCCCGGGTCCCTGCCCCCCGTTAGGGGGCAGCTTCAGCCCTTCCCAGGAGAGATGTCGCCGGGCTGGGGGGACAGAAGTGTGAGGAGATGTGCTGCACGGGGCAAGGTCCCCGGGAAGCCCTGGGCAGCCCGTCCTCCCAGGGGCAAAGCAGTGGCCGAACTCGGCCTCGTCAGGCCTGCTGAAAGGAGCTTCCCGCCGCGCCGCCCTGGTCCCCAGGCCCTGTGCGTCCAGACTGTGCAGTGACTGAGCTCTGCAGAACCACCACCCTCTCTGCTGGTGTCCACCTGGCTCCTCCAGTCGTGTGTCTCATGTCGTTTGTTGCGGCGTTTCTGAGCTGGTCTCTAGTGGAGGTGACCACCCACAGGGACCCCTCGCAGCCGCTGGTCCGCTGGTCACTGTGCGTGTGCAGGAGGTTCTCTCAGGTTTGAAAGAGTCGTTTTAGAAAGAAAAAAGATACTTTGTTGAAAAGGCTCACTCTGGGTGCGCTCCTGACTCTCCTGTTGTGTAGAATGTGGGCCGCTGGCTCCTAAGTTACACGCTTAACCCTGAGGCTCAGCCGTGCTCCTCTGGGGCTGGGCTGGTGCTTTCAGGGGAAAGTGGCGTCTTACTCACGATTCGCTGCAGATTGTAAGTAACTGGGCATCATCATCTGCTAAGCTCAGCATGTTCCAGCCTTGGTTTAAATCACAGTGTCAGGTGGCCGGGTTCCTGGGCAAACGCGCTCCTGTACAAGACCTTGCGTCACAGGGCTGCTCCGCAGGGGTGTGGATGGTCTGTGCCTTTCACGCTTGAGCATCCTCTGTTGTTCTCATCCAGATGGACAAGGTCGCTTTCCCGGTGTGTGTCCCTTGCCCAACTTACATCACTGACACGCGAAGGACCTGCTCTCCAGCCTGGCCCTGCTGGGGGTCGGGGGACCCGGGCCGAGTGCATGACCCGCCCACCCGGGGGTCCCGTGTCTCCGCTCCCCCACATTAGGCCCGACTCAGAGTGGGAGTGAGAGGGGTGTCCCGGAAGAGAGACGACGCGGGACAGCAGGTCCCAGCCTCAGCCCACGAGCCCGTCAGGGAAGGGAGGCCTTTAAACGGAGCTTCAGGAGCGAGTGCTCCCAGCTGTGTTAGTGGCGTCTGATCAGATCTACCTCCAGCAGCCTGGAGTGAGTGGAGAGCGACCTGGGCTGGGGGCTGTGATCGGGCAGGTGCCATGTCTCTGGGTCTGCACCCCCAGCGTGGGGGCCTCCCGTGCAGGCCAATCGTTTAGGTGGGGACAGATGGGGGAACTCCACCTAGGAACGGGGTGTCTCCTCTGGGAAAAGCCCCCTCAGGCAGAGAACAAACTCGCCTGGCTCTGTCTGACGATTTCCATCTGAACCGAAGTTCAGTGTGAAGGTCCTTGAACTTGGGGGTGGTGAGGGCGGTCTCACGCTGACCCCATTCCTGAGAATAGCAGTTCTGCAGATGGCCCTGCCCGCCCTTGCCCAGGGTCAGCATCCCGGGTCCGAGGAGGTGAAAGAGGCGTCTCGGTTATAGGACGAGTAGGACTTGGAAGAGGTTGGCGAGAGAGCTTGTTCTTGACTGTTTAAACCTTGCTGACTTCGTCTTTTGTACAGTGTCCATTCGTAAGTGATTTCCTCACAGGAAATACATTTTCAGTGTTGGGTAGAATGCCAGCATCTTTGGAGTGTGTGTCTTCAGCTGTTCGTAGCTTTGTCTTCACATGCATCTACGACAGGAACTTTGGAACGTTTACGCTAAGACGTCAGGTTGTCTCTGAGTGGTCAGGAAGGTTTTGTTTTAATTTCCTTCCCTGTGTTTTCTGGGCTTCTCTAAACTTTGTATAATAAATAACTTGTGTGTGTACTTTATCATGTGTGTATAAACAGGAAGCGGGAATGTTTCTTTAATATACGACTGACATGCTTTAAAGAAAGAGCTGGATTGTCATTGTTAAATGAAGGTCTGAATCACATCAAGTTGTGATGGAGAACAGCATGAGGCCTTTTCATTCTTGCCATGCTCCTCACCGCGTCAGGATGGCCAGGCAGTCCAGGGCGCTGGTTCGGTCGCAGCCTTCCCTGGAGGCGTGTGTTCGAATCCCACTTCTGACAGCACGCGTCCTGGGCTTCCCTGGTGGCTTGGACGATAACAAATCTCTCTGCCATGTGGGAGTCAGTCCCAGGTTCCATCCTGGGTTGGGAAGATCCCCTGGAGGAGGGCGTGGCAACCCCCTGCAGTGTCCTTGCCTGGAGAACCCCATGGACAGAGGAGCCTGGTGGGCTGCAGTCCGCGGGGTCGCAGAAGGTCAGACATGACTAAAGCGACTAGCTAGAGAACGGAACGGCGGCCCACTCCAGTATCCTTACCTGGAGAATCTCATGGACAGAGGAGCCTGGTGGGCTGCAGTCCGCGGGGTCGCAGAAGGTCAGACATGACTAAAGCGACTAGCTAGAGAACGGAACGGCAGCCCACTCCAGTATCCTTACCTGGAGAATCTCATGGACAGAGGAGCCTGGTGGGCTGCAGTCCGCGGGGTCGCAGAAGGTCAGACATGACTAAAGCGACTAGCTAGAGAACGGAACGGCAGCCCACTCCAGTATCCTTACCTGGAGAATCTCATGGACAGAGGAGCCTGGTGGGCTGCAGTCCGCGGGGTTGCAGAGGGTCAGACACGACCACACGCCTGGCGCTCCCCGGGCCCCAGCGCTGAGTCTGAGGCTCCGCTCCGTCTCGCAGGCTGTACGGCTCCCCGCTCAACATCGACCTGTTCCCGGCCCTCATGGTGGAGGACCTGGTGCCTGGCAGCCGCCTGGGACCCACCTTGATGTGTCTGCTGAGCACGCAGTTCAAGCGCCTTCGGGACGGGGACAGGTAAGCCCCCGGGAGCTCAGCAGGTGCCCCGTGCAGGGGTGTTCCCGGAAAGTGGCAGTGCTGGCGCGGCAGTGACCGCTGCTGCTCTTAGTGTGGACTTCTCGTCTCTGCGTTTCGGGTCGCTCAGAGCACTGTCACCAAAGCACGTGACTCTCACGTCTGTGTCGTGAGCGGAGCTGAACGTGAGGACGGTCTTAACCGGCTCCTGGGGCTGCGGCCTCGCCGGCTCTCTCTGACCTCGCTCTCGCCCCGGGGACACAGGCTGTGGTACGAGAACCCGGGGGTCTTCACTCCGGCCCAGCTCACCCAGATCAAGCAGGGCTCGCTGGCCCGCATCGTATGCGACAACGCCGACAACATCACGCGTGTGCAGAGGGACGTGTTCCGAGTGGCCGAGTTCCCCCACGGCTACAGCAGCTGCGACGAGATCCCCCGGGTGGACCTCCGGGTGTGGCAGGACTGCTGTGAAGGTGGGCTCGGGTTCCCGTCCGCCCCTGACAGCTGGGCGGAGCACAGGCTGGGGTCAGCACAGCGGGGGAAGCAGGCGGAGACAGGGGTCCCCGGCGGGGGGAAGGCGGTCAGCCCTGAGCGTCCACTGGGCAGTGTTGTGGACCGTGAAAGCGGTGAGTGACGGCGACGAGTCTGTGAAGCCACGAGACAGGAGTTGGTGTGAGGGCTAAGGTGCTCAGTGACAGAGACGGAAAGCAGAACGTTGATGCAGTAAGTGCCCAGTTTCCCTGGGGAACCGCCCATGTACCTGCATTTGATGGCCCGCCTGTTATTTGTACCTGCGGCTTCCCCGGTGGCTCCGTGGTAGAGTCCACCTGCAGTGCAGGAGACTCTGGTTGGATCCCTGGGTTGGGAAGGTCCCCTGGAGGCAGGATAGGCTGCCCGCTCCAGTGTTCCTACCTGGGGAAGCCCGTGGACAGAGGAGCCTGGTCTGGTGCCTGTGGTCCATGGGGTCGCAACACAGTTGGACACAACTTAGCGACTAAACAGCAAGATATCTGAACCTGCAGATAAAAGATGAACAAGAAACATACGAAAAGCGTGTCAGACATACGTTGATTTTTTTAAATGGGTGCTGTGTGTCCTGAATGCCTAGAATAACGTATGTGTGCAGAGAGATGTGCTGTAAGCACTTCTGAGGAAGCACGGGGCGATGGCAGGTACCTGCAGGCCTCTGGGAGCCCGAGACGCCCGTTTCTGGACGTGCCTTCCCGGTTGCTCAGGGGCCACTGCCCCGCAAGACTCCTGCTCTGCATTCTGGGTCGCGGCTAACCTTGACTGCACATTCTAGTTTGAATGTAGTTTGGCTTTATTCAAACTATGATCAGAGGCCCAGGAAACACTGCAGCGGGGAAACTCTGAGGTCCCATTACTGTGGTGAGATCACGGGACCGCAAGCCCGGGGTGACCCCACGGGTCACGCAGCCGTGGACGAGGTGGCCCTGAGCCCCAGCCCTTGCTCCGCCTGCTGGTGGACACCAGGTGCAGAATCCAGCTTGCTCTTCCGTGTCTTCTTTCTGAAGAAGTCCTGGCTAGGTCGTTCTCATTAGTAATTGGTCTTAATTCGCTGTTATTTTCATTAGTAAATATTGAAATCTGGGTTGATACACATTCTGTGTATGGGTGTGATGGGAGTCTTTGTGACTTCTCCTCTGCCCGTATATGATGTATGTATAATGCATGATATATAATATGCTAAATGTATATGTATGTGATGAATGTGATTTACAATGTTGTAGAATTCACTTAAAGTTTGAAGTTTTGCTCTGTATATGCCCAAGTTTGCAAAGCATTTAATTCTTATTTTTATAGCTCTTGGGAACTTGGGAACTTGTTTTTCTTTCTTAAAAAAAAAAATACTTTGGTTTATTAAGGTTGCAACAGTTTTCCACATATATGGCAAAGAATTTCATTTTTATGTTTGCAGAAAGCAGTTCTATTTGAAAATCACAGGGAAAAGCCAGTTCTTTTTAGACACAGAAACTCCATTTTCTGATGAAGCTGCAGCAGACTCCCTGAGGCTGTCGAGGAAGGAATGAATTCAGCTTTGCTGTTTTTTGCCCCCACACCCAAGTCCCTGATCCAGACTTGTCCTCTGTCCGTGCCCAGGCCTCTTCAGCTGGGCAGGCAGAGATGGAGGTGCTTGACATAGCTCTGCCCTCCTTTTATCTGGATTCTTCTCCTCTTAGCTGTCTAGCGTAGCCCTGAGGTGACACAACTTGAAGAACTGCTTTGAGAGCTTTATCTGTTTTTCTTTTAGTCCAAAAGTCACACCTAAAAAGTGGCAGGAAAAAGAGTTCAGTTTGACAGGACCAGATGTAGATTGCTGTTGAGGTTTCACTTCCCTGAGTGTGAAAGGGCCGCTCGACACAGCTTTGAGCTGCGTCTCTCAGTCATGTTTTTGTTTAATCCAAGTATGGAATTAGCTCATGTGGGAAACCCAAGAAGCTCCATCTGGGAACATCTTTTTCTTTTGATCAAAGTGATTAATTTCATCTTCTCTGTGGGCTGATGAGTCATAGAGACGAATACACACCCGTGTTCCATTTTGAAATAATTGTAGAAATTACTGAAATAGTACCAAAGTCTCCTGGGTGGGGCAGGACGGCACGCGTGTGCTCCACTGGGGGGCTGGGCTGTGGAGCCCTTGGGGGAGCAAGGGGGGGTCACGGGCTCCAGGCCCCTCGCCCAGGGTAGTGGGGAGGTGAGTGCAAGGCGCCGCCACCCCCTGCAATGTGAGTGCCTCTAGCGCCCTTCAGGAGGGATGGTTCTTGCCCAGACGTCCTTGGTTCTTGATGTCCTTCGTGAGAGTCGCCAACCCTGATGTGTGTACATTTTGCTCACAGACTGCAGAACCAGGGGCCAGTTCAACGCCTTCTCCTACCACTTCCGAGGCAGGCGGTCTCTTGAGTTCAGCTACCAGGAGGATGAGCCAGCCAGGGAGACAGGGCCCGGGAAGGTGCCAAGGTACGTCTGAGCCCCCAGCTGGCCCTCGGGCCTGCAGGGTGCCCTGTGCGTCTGCCCGCCCACGCACAGCCCGGGAGCCCACACTGGCAGCCCCATCACTGAGCGCCCCTTGCTTCTCCAAGCAGAGCCGGGAAGCCCCGGGCACCTCCCAGTAACGGCACAGATGCCTCCTTGGAGCAGCTGCAGGGGCCGGGGACCAGCGACTTCCGGGAGTTTGTCCTGGAGATGCAGAAGACCATCACGGACCTCAGGAAGCAGGTGGGTGGCTCCCTGACACCCCCCCCCCNGTCAGGCTGAGACGTCCACAGATCTCAGAAGGTCATGCTGAGGGGGGTTTCTGATGCTGGAGGCCCCTCCCGCCTGTGGGAGCTTCGATCCTCAGCTCGGGGGAATCAGCATCTTCTGTTCAGCCTCCGCAGCCGCTGTGTGTCTGCCCTGCGGCGTCTCCTCTGCCCGGGGGAGCCCTGGGTGCTGGCTGGGGCCCGGACAGACTGCCCTGTGGTGTCTCCTCTGCCCGGGGGACCCTGGGTGCTGGCTGGGGCCCGGGCAGACTGCCCTGCGGCGTCTCCTCTGCCCGGGGGACCCTGGGTGCTGGCTGGGGCCCGGGCAGGAAGCACCCCCTGTGCCTGGAGCCTGAGACGCAAACCCATACAGGCCCTGAGCCAATGGCACAGGCTGTCCCGAGGGCCCAGCCGCGGGGGCTGCACCCACCGCAGGATTGGTGCCTGCGTCCATGAGGCCGGACCCCCAACCCCCGGGAGGGGGCAGAGGGCAGGGCGGGGGTCAGACCACTCTGCTCCGACGGGTCGGGCGGCCCGAGGACAGGAAGGAGGAGGGCTGGGCGGTGAGAGCCGCCCCCACCCCAGTGCCTCTCCTGGACCTGTTTCAGCGGTTGGGCAGGTGGGGCTCTCCCCGCTCAGGTGCCCCCGAGGGAGACAGGCGGAGCTGTTCGGCAGTCACGACCAGGGCCCAAGGGCCCCCAGCCTCCGTCAGCCCCTCAGCGCTGCCCCCAGCAGGGCTGATGTGCCGTTGGGCTCCAGAGCGGTCTCAGCCCAGCACTGCTTTGAGAAGCCGCTGAAAATGTTTCTCTTGCCCAGACCTGAGCCCGCCTCCTCTTTGCTCCTGCCTGTGGGTCCTCTCCTCTTTAGGCACTGCTGGACCACATTTCCGGCCCAGGCACTTCTGGCCTCACACACGGGGCTGCTGGGGGCATCAGGCGGTTGTCATGCAGGTTTGGGACACGCTTGAAGATCCAGGAAGGGACTTTGGGGTCTCTCTTGGCCCCGTCATCTCTCTCGGATATGGGGTCTCTCTTGTCTGTCCTGAGACGTCATCTCAAGTGGCGGAGCGGGAGCGGGCGCTGAGCTGCGTCCGAGCGCCCGGGCGTCTGCTTTGCTGCAGATAAAGAAACTCGAGTCTCGGCTCGGCGCAGACTGCGTGGATGCAGATGGCAGCTCGTACGCGGACGGGGCTGAGTGGACTCGGGATCCCTGCACCACCTGTGAATGCCGCGTGAGTGTGCGCCCGGGCAGGCCCCGGGGATCGGAGGTCTCAGCTATGGGGTCCCCTCCCTCTTCCCTCGGAAGCCGGGGCTCTCCCCCCAGAGCCGTACGTAAAGGTTGATGGGGACCCCGCTCCCCCTGCTCAGCACGGGAGTGCCCACACGAGCGAGGAGGGGCGGCTCCCTGTCTCCGAGCGAGTGGATGGAGCGGGCAGTGGGGGCCTCGGGGCAGGTCTGGGGGTGGCCCTGCCCTAGAGGAGCTTCGGGGTGGAGTTGGGAGCCAGGTGGGGACTGGTCTGTTCCCCTGGACGGGCAGAGCAGCAGTCTGGCGTCCCTGGTTTGGACACAGCCCTGCCACCCAGCTCCTCCATAGGCAGCCTGGTCAACATGCAGGGACGTGATCCCTGGGGCCCCCAGGGCGAGGCTGTGCAGGGGGCTGACAGCCCAGGGCCTGGGGACGGCAGGGGAGCCTCCAGAAGGAGCGGGGTGTCCGCTGTGGAGGAGAGTCAGCCGCCCTTTAACCCCAGAACCCCCCCAGGAGGCCAGCCCAGCGGGACGGGAACAGCCGGGGCAGCTCCCAGGGCTGACGGCTCTGTGCTCTCCCCTCCAGGATGGGCAGGTCACCTGCTTTGTGGAGACTTGCCAGCCAGCTGACTGCCCAGCGCCCGCCAGGGTCAGTGGAGCCTGCTGCCCCGTGTGCTCCAGAGACTCCACGGGGAAGCAGCCCTGAGCGTCTGCGAGCCCGGAGCTTCTCCTGGCCCCGGGAGCTAGGTCGCGCAGGTGCCGGGGCAGCAAGGCTGGGATGCGGGGGCCACGGCTCAGAGCCTTGCGAGCTCACCCGGGGACCCCCAGCCTGAGCGTTCACCGGCAGACCGCGGGGCAGACGCGTGTCCTGACTCGATCTTAAGGTTTCTCAGGTTTCTATTTAATTTTTTTAATGAAAAATTGGTGCTACTATTAAATTGCACAGTTCAATCATTTAGGCTCCTAATTGATTTCACCTAGTATCACCGTTTCTTCTCAACTGAAAGTTAGTCCCGCTGGGTTCCGGCGCCAGGAGCCTGCAGAGCGGAGCCGGCGGCAGAGGGACGCAGGATTTGAAAGAGAATCCGTCCCTGGCAAACAGAACAGTCTGCACGGACGTGGGGCGGCAGTGCAGGCGGCCAGCGTGGGCCCCCGCGCCCCCTCCCTCGGCCCCTGCCGCTCCGCGGGCCCCGCCGCCTGTGACCCCGACTCCACGCAGCCCGGAAGGTTTGAAGCCACCGCGCTCCCCCGTGACCGGCGCACACGCTGCCGGGTGTGGACCTGGCGGGACGGCGCCCCATCCGCACCAGCATCGCCCACGGCACGGACACCCTGCTCCGCCGCCCGGCTTCACCCGCCGGAGTCCACGGCCGAGCCGCCACGCTCTCGATCCCTGTTCCGACGGGAGGAACACGCGTGTCGGGGACTTTCTGACTTCAGGTTGTCAGAGTCCGTTCAAGAAAAGCAGCCGGTCCGTATACCTCATTTGTATCTCTGCCGCGTGTGATGGTTGATGAAATTTCACGCAGGTTTTAGCTTTGGATACGGCAGAAACCGCTCGTCCATGCCGCTCAAGTTCCCGTAGGGCTCAGTGAGAAACAACTTCCATACCTCATGGCCTCTGTCTTTTTACTCGACCGGAACCTCCTGTTTGGTTCCAAATGCAAATGGTCTGTGTTCTGGAAAACAGGTCCCTGGATCTCCTGCTCTGTTCTCGGACCTGAGTGTCCAGCGCGAGCCGGGCCCTGTGCTGGGTGCAGACATGGTGCCCGCCCGCGCTTCCTACGGGAGACCCTCTGGGACCCCGGCCGGCTCGGTCCATGTGGGCGAGTCTGGAGTTGGTGGTACCGTGTGGAGCCTGTCATGGGTGGGGAAGAGGAGGCAGGTCTCCAGGCGGCGTCCAGCAGGTGCCGGGCACTTTGAAAGCTGGGTTCTGGCCCAGCCCTCCTCCCCGCAGCAGGAGACCCCAGTGCCTGTGGGGCTGCGTTCCAGCCGGGGGGCGGGCAGCGGCTTTCCACACGGGCGGCTGGACTTGTGAGCGCACATCACTGGTGATCAGATCAGTACAAGCTCCAGTGTTCCTGGGCACAGGGCTCCTCTTCACATAGCAGGGCAGACGGGGTAGATAATCAGACCGTGGCACCCATCTCTGCAGACAGGAAATGGTTCACTTTGTCTGAGGCGGATGGTTACGTACGTTGCTCAGGTATGAGATCCCACCTTCTGGAGCGTGTGGAGTCTGGAGGCGCCCGAGGTTGAGCGGTGGCTTGATGCAGAGGACGCGGGGACTGGGATGGCTTTGTCTAACGCGCCGGGTGGCCTTCTGAGTCACCGGGACGCTCTGCGGCTGGGGATGGGCCGGCCGCGCCCTCCAGCGGCCCCCGCGGAGGACGCGGTGTGTACAGACTCACTGGCCCTTCTAATCAGATGTTTGCCGGCAGCAAGTGCCTTTCTTCTGTTCATTGTAATCAGCCCGTCACCAAAGAGACGTTTGCACTATGTAACAATGCCTTTCAGTTCCAATAAACGGGCCACGTTTCCAAACAGAGCGTGGGTCTTCCTTTCGTGAGCCGATCGGGAGGCAGGTCCCCGAGGGGCTGGGCCCTTCGTAGAGAAACGGGAAAGGGGGAGGGGAACTCGGGGATACCCGAGGAGGACTCGTCTCTCCTCCCCTGGCTGGGTGCCGTCCTGGGGACCGAGCTGGCCTCCTTGTTGAGAGTCTCGGGCGGGTCGGGGCGAGCTCCCAGGAGAAAGCTGCAGCCCCTGCCCCACCCCCCGACGTTTCTGGCTCTGTGGCTGGAAATGTGTGGTTGTGGACAGCTGTCCAGCCCGCGGTGCCCTGGGCCCAGGCGGGATACAGGATGGGGTCCTGAAGGGACCTGGAAGTCATAGGAGGGGTCTTTGCAGGAACATCATGACCATTCATGGAAATATGAGAAAAAAATAGGTCAGGGGAAGATTAAGTATTGACATTTTTTAAGTTGCCAAATCTTTCAGAGCTTGTAAGAAGACCCCTTGAACTTTCATAGTCGTGCTGAGCCCGCGTCACTGATGGTCTCCTGGGGGTCTCGCGTGCTGAGCCCACGTCACTGATGGTCTCCTGGGGGTCTCTTGTGCTGAGCCCACGTCACTGATGGTCTCCTGGGGGTCTCACGGGTCATAGACGGGGTGGGGAGAAGGGCTCAGCTCTTTCTTCCAGTGACAGATGTCACGTGACGTTTCTGTGTGAGGTGAGTACACTTCCCTGCACGTGCGCTTGGGTGTTTCAGGATCGCCGGGAGCTGGAGCCCCGAGACTCGGGTGGGGCGGCTGCAGAACGGCGTGTGGGTGAAAGGTCAACAAATGCTGGCCGAGAGGGACGCAGGGGCCAGACTGTGGGCCTGTAGCCCGGCCAGGCAGACGTCCCCGCACTTCCTCGAGACCAGCCCCGTGCCAGCCGCGTGCCCGCCGCCCCAACGCAGCCAGGGCTGAGGCTTCTGGCCCTGGAAGGACAGCAGGCTGAGCTGGGGGGTGAGGGAAGAGCCGCCTTCGACCTGGTTCTGAGCAAGCCCAGTGGTGGGGCGCAGCTCCCACCCCTGGGGCGCGGGGCACCTGGGTTTCACGGTCCACGCCGCTCACCTGGAAGCTGCTTCAGCCCGAGGCTGGTCCCGGGGGATAGGGGGTCAGCTCACTGGCCCACCTGAGCTCAGCTGCTCGCCACCCGGCAGTCACCAGGAGACAGATCAGGCCCCTGCCTGGTCAGTGGTTGACGGAGAGCCAAGAGCCATGTGCCATTTTAACGGAAAGAAGGTGGATGCTGTAAAATTGGCAAAAGTCATTTGTGTCTTGCTTTATTTTTGTTTTTTGTATATTGCTTTAGAAAATAAGGAGAGAGATTGATATAAAAAACCAACAGGGAGATTAGATTGCAGGCGGAAATCAGAAAGAGGCACATGAAGCGCTTTTGAGATGACCGTGAAAAGTGACACAGTGAAAGTGCTGCTCACTCAGTCGTGTCCAGCTCTGCGACCCCATGGACCCGCAAGGCTCCTGTCCTGGGATTCTCCAGGCCAGAAGACTGGAGTGAGTTGCCATTCCCTTCTCCAGGAGATCTTCCCCACCCAGGAATGGAACTTGGATCTCCTGCATTGAAGGCGGATTCTGTACAGTCTGAGCCACCACGAAAGCCCTTTTCCTTCATCTTTGAGATCATTATGACAACATCTAACTTCCTGGTCTTGGTGGTTTTCATGAGTTTCTTTATAATAATTTATTAAGCTGTCAATTCACTTTTAGGTATTTTTTGCATATTTTATTTCATAATAAAAATCTGAAGTCATTAGAAAGATTGCAGATTTCAGCAATTTCAACAACTGGGAAGTAGGTATGTCTCTGTAGTTTCAATTTTCTTATAAGCCTAACAGCTCCTTTAAAATATAAGGTCTTCATTTAAAGAAAAAGGAGAATGTATGGAAACATACCTAGTGCCTTCTTAAAATATTTGCAGCTATTTCCTGTGGGGAAAAATGTGTGCTCAGGACCATAAATGGGGCTTCCCAGGTGTCTCAGCTGTAAAGACTCCACCGGCCAGTGCAGGAGACGCAGGTTTGCTCTCTGAGTCGGGAAGGTCCCCTGCAGGAGGGCACAGCAGCCCCCTCCAGGGTTCTTGCCGGAGAAGCCCGTGGGCGGAGGAGGCTGGCGGGCTGCCGTCCACGGGGCTGCAGAGAGTTGGACACGACTGACTGGCTGAGCGCACATGCAGTGACATAAACTGTTGTATTCCATCTGCCAGAAGATTCTTTCGTGTGCCTAGTGAATTACCACAACGCATCTTAAATGTATTTGGGGGGAGAAAAGGTTTCTCTGACAAAGTTTCAGGAAGGTTTTTCTGGTTTTACGCCCTCATCACCTCCCGCAGCTGCAGCCACAGGACCCCAGGACCTTCGAGGCAGGAAATGCGGGAGCAGGACGGGGGTCCGGGTGGTCTCTCCCCAAACCTGCCAGAGCCCTGAGCTCCCTGGAACCCCCACTGTGAGGCAGGAGATGAGGGAGCAGGACGGGGTCGGGGCGGTCTCTCCCCAAACCTGCCAGAGCCCTGAGCTCCCTGGAACCCCCACTGTGGACGGCGGGAGCCTTGGCTGCAACAGTGGCACCGGTTGACCTGTAATTGCAGAGGAGAGAGTGGGCAGCAGGCGGGGGCGCGGGCACCAGGTCCCCCCACGGGGAGGGCGCCCTGGGGGGGACAGATCTGAGCCCACCTGGGTCCCTGCAGGCTGTCCCGGGCCTGTCCTCCCCCCGTCCATCCCGTCCTGTGTCCGTCTCGTCCGTGTCTGTCTGTCCATCCTGTCCTGTGTCCGTCTCGTCCGTGTCTGTCTGTCCTGTCCCATGTCTGTCTGTCCCGTGTCTGTCTGTCTGTCCTGTCCCATGTCTGTCTGTCCGTCCCGTGTCTGTCTGTCCTGTCCTGTGTCTGTCCGTCCCATGTCTGTCTGTCCTGTCCTGTGCCTGTCCGTCCCATGTCTGTCTGTCCTGTCCCATGTCTGTCTGTCCGTCCCATGTCTGTCTGTCCTGTCCTGTGCCTGTCCGTCCCATGTCTGTCTGTCTGTCCCGTCTCTGTCTGTCTGTCCCATGTCTATCTGTCCTGTGCCTGTCCGTCCCGTGTCTGTCTGTCTGTCCCGTGTCTGTCCGTCCCGTGTCTGTTTGTCCTGTCCTGTGCCTGTCCGTCCCATGTTTGTCTGTCTGTCCCGTGTCTATCTGTCCTGTATCTGTCTGTCCGTCCCGTGTCTGTCCATCCTGTGTCTGTCCTGTCGCGTGTCTGTCTATCCCGTGTCTGTCTGTCTGTCCTGTCCCGTGTCTGTCTGTCCCGTGTCTGTCTGTCCCCTGTCTGTCTGTCTGTCCCGTGTCTGTCTGTCCTGTGTCTGTCTGTCTGTCTGTCCCGTGTCTGTCTGTCCTGTGTCTGTCTGTCCTGTGTCTGTCTGTCTATCCCGTGTCTGTCTGTCCTGTGTCTGTCCTGTTCCGTGTCTGTCTGTCCCGTGTCTTTCCTGTCCCCTGTCTGTCTCTCTGTCCCGTGTCTGTCCCATGTCTGTCCGTCCCATGTCTGTCTGTCCCGTGTCTGTCCCGTGTCTGTCTGTCCTGTCCCGTGTCTAGTCTGTCCTGTCTCGTGTCTGCCCTGCC